TGGATCGGAGCCCCAGGTCTGAGGGCTCTGACCTCTGAGTCAGTGCCGACGGGAAGGGAGTTTCGCGACAATTGTGTCATCCACCAACCCTCGCACGCGCTGGCGTGCGCTACCACTGCCTGGATACAACCGCGGACACCGGTGCAGTGGTATATTTCTAATGCAGAATTCTACAAAGAAACAGCAATTAAAACGAGACTGAAGAAAAAAACTGATTCTTGTATCGAACCGTCGGCCTGAATCGCGACAATTTATAAAAAAAATTGCGGCGCGTGTGAATCGTGCCGTGAACACGTTGGATCAGGCTTTGTTTTTTTAGCCGTCGTGAGGAGTGCCGATGCAGGTTTACGCTCTCAGCGAAGTCCCAGTGATGCATGGGGTCACAAAATGCGGGCGCGATAACGCCCCCCGTGCAGTCCATTACATCAGGAGTGTGCGTGCGCGTCTCCGCTTTTACAAGTGTCCCTGCTGTTTGTGTTTGTACCGTGATCCTCGTGACCCAGCGTTCATTGCTGGTCATGCGACCTGCAGCAATTGCCCAGATATTATACGGCACTGGCCGTGGGGTCAATGTTGTTCCAGCGTAGGCCTAAATTTATCCCAATGCATTACGTTAACCGCGTGGTGTCTCAACCCAGCCGCGGCCTCTTCGCCGATGTGGTTAACTTGCTCCGCTGTCAGCGCGCAGCCTTTGTGCATCACGCAAAATCCATCGGCATTTCCCGAACAAGTGCATTGTGGTCCTCTTGTCTTAGACCACCATCGCGATGTGGAGCAAACGTGACCGACTGCGAGCGGCAGCAGCAGTGGTAAACAACTGTGGACCGGTTTCACTCTTATTAGGACCCATCAGCGCAGTATAGTCACCAATGCTCACTGCTGCAAAGTCTGCCTCGGCTTGCTTCGATGACGTTTCAGTTTATGTGCGCGTGCATTGACTGTGGGTGTCCGTACCCAGCGTGTACCTGGCCAGCGTGTGCGCACATCGTGTCTCGGAGAAGCTTCAAGTACACGAGCAACGTGTGCATCATCTCCTTAGTAGCCTGGTTGTCACGGCGACCGCGTGCTTTGTCACCGCGTAGATTAGTGTGGAGCAGTGTAGTCACTTAATGACGAATGTAAAGTGGACCATCTGCTTTCAGGTTGGAATTAAGACCCTCTGACATAATGTGATGTCACGCTCCATTTCGCTCCGTGAATTTCCTCCTCTCGCCCCTCGACGCGCACTTCGCGTTACATTTCCTCAAGTCTTCCGTGAAAAGTAGACGTTGCGGTGGGATATCACGTGGTTAAATAAAGACATCGGTCTCTCGGGTAATGAAATTATTATAATAACCATCGTTGACTTGACGTGTTTGGCAAATTCCTTGTTTGTGCTCTGCGTCTCTCCCCCCTGTACTTAGTGTCCTCCACCCCGCCTCGGCACGTTGTGTTGACTCCGGGTCACAGCCGCGCGCGCGGTGCGCGTTTTGGTAATGCGCCGTCAGTTCGAGGAGAGCATCGTAGCTCGTGTTGTACGGAGCCCCCTCTAAGGGTGCCTGGGTGTGATCGTCGACAGCTCTCTCCAGCCGGTGGGGTGTGGGGGGAGCGATGATGATGACGATGTTGTTCGTTGCTTGCAGCGTCGGCTCGCAATCGGGAAAGGTTCATATCACAGTCGGGGGTCGACTCGGCTCATCATCCGTGTTGGGTAGATAAAATATGTACTACGTTATCGGAAGCCGTCACTGACCGTACTCTTGGGGAGACAAATCTCCGCGTTAGAAACGCGATGTGCACTTTACACTGCAGGATGGTCCTGAAATTGTAAACTTTAAGTTGAGCCCTAACATGAATACAATAAAAAAACATTAAATGTATTTCCCCCTATCAATAAGGTACCACCCCCTCCCTCTTGTATCCACCACTGGCTGAAGGCCGCCAGTAGGGTCTGAGTTTTGCCTGAGCGCTTCAGCAGGGAGACATCGACGTGGCTCGATATGAGAAGCCGTGGAGAAGCGACTTGTAACTGAGGTGGTTTGTCGCTTGAGACACAGAACTGTTGTGTTTACTTGGGCCCTCTGTTCGTTAATGCCTCTTGGGGTCGAGTCTAACCCGGACCGGAACTCATCCGATCTCGCGAGCTAAGCAGGCACGAGCCTGGCTAGCGGTGAGTAGGAGACCGCCCGTGGCTGACGGCTGTCGGCTGTCATCGGCCATAGACTGGAGAGGCTGCGGTGGGCAGCAAAGGGCAGTGCATCACAATGCATTTGTGCACAGTACTTCTATGCTCCCACGTTTATACTTGACCAACCCACACGGATCAGCGTGGTGAAGTATGGTCAAATAAGCCCTTCCGGCCGCACGGAGAGGTCATGCCCTGTAATGTGCAGTAATGTAAAAACTATTTTAATAATTTAGTTCCAAAATGAAGTTATAAAACACAGCTGTTGACTCGCGTAGTTAGCTACGTAAGTGGTATTAATAATACTCTTTGGTTCTTTCGGTAAAGTCACGTAGGTAGAAAAATTTAATAAAATAAAAAATAAACATATCACGACGTTTTGATCGCAACACAAGCGTTCGTCCTCAGGCTGGAAAAAACAAATCGCCGGAGTGGAACTTCTGAACCAGCCAACAGTTCCGCTGCTGGATTATTTTTTCCCGCCTGAGGGTGACCGCTTGTGTTGCGATCGAAACGTCGTGATGTGTTATTTTTTATTTTATTCAATGTTGTCTACCTACGTGACTTTACCGAAAGAACCAAAGAGTATGGTTTCCTGCAGTCACGAAAGCTTCAAATCAAGATTGAAGCGGCATTAAAATAAGCACACCAACGCTGTAAAATGAAAGCACTATATTAAACAACTTAAATTACACAGATAAATAAACAATTATAATAACTAGCTAAATGAATTCCATGAATTGTACTGTTAGGTTAACTATAATATACCGCCTCTAAGAATAATGTCTACAGCACTGTAATGTAATTATTGGATACAGAAACGGTCCACAAATATTATATTAAATGTCCTGGTACATTATCAAACGTCGATATATTCATTTTCTCCAATATTGTTTACAATTGCGCCAGACCGGACAATATATATGTATAACGCATGCTCTGACCGTATCTGCAACAAGCAAGCGAACGCGTCACCGACCCCCTTGAACCACGGGTTTGAAGCATCGCAGAACAGCGTTCAACCTTCCCCTCGGAGTAATGGTGACGCATTCTTTTGAATCGCTGGCTGCTGTCAAGAAACGTGGCCCAAAGTTGTGAAACATAGTCAAATGAGCAATTTGAAAGGTGTTCCAAAATCAAGAGTGACTGGGTGGCTCCATGCCAGCATCACACAGATAAATAAACTCCCACAAGAGATGAAACCAGATTTTCATGTGGGCTGAGTTGGATGATATTGGCCTACACACCATTAATTAGGATAACAATCACTTTTCTTAAAACTTACTTTTGTGTTTAAACTCGGGGTATCTTGGCAGGCTATCCAAGCATATACACAGCTAGGATAGGCCGTGATAATGTGGTAGTTAAGATATAGCCCGAAGGAAGTTAAGTTAAGGCCTATAACAAACCGTTCAGATCATGAGGCAATACATATTTATATATGTGTGTGTGTTAATTGTACTCCGCACCTGCTGTAGTTCACCTGAAACAACTCAAACTAATCGTTATGCTTAACTAAAGAAGTTAAAACTTGTGGCACGCATCCAAAAAAGACGTGGATATGCGTGTGTGTGTGGGGATCAGTGGCTGGGTCATGTAGCCCGCATGCCCAGCCACCGCTGCCTAAACAGCTTTTGTTCGGCCGGATCGAGGCTAAACGGGCGTCGCACGGACTAGAGAAGAGATGAAGTGACGTGGTACAGGAGGATGTGGAGCTGAGTGGACTTGCCGATGACCGGTACCAGCGGTGTCAAGATCGGCCTCTGTGGAGGAGGCTCGTGAAGGACGCTACTGGGCAGTTGGAGGCAGTCGCCCTCCAACAACAACGGAGGGCAGAGGAGCGTTGCTCACAACAATGAGCGGAGTGCCGGGTGTCTAAAACACAGCAAGTTGGCACAGTAGGGGGCACAGGTGGTGCATCTGACAGTCATCTCAGTCAGTCAACCCATGGTACCTGGGTTTGCCCCATGACATCCTGTCAGTGGGCGTTCGACACTTTACGCGGCCTTACGTGCACTTAGCCGGGCACAAGCGCCGTGGGGATGTCACCGCCACTTAGTGGCAAGTGGCGGTTGTTGTTGGGACGGTAGTGTAGCGGTTAGCGCTACGCTGCACTATGAACTTGGCGACCCGAGTTCGATTACCCCTCGCGGCCACCACCAGTGACGATTATCTGAACCGGTCCTGGGCCTCCCCTAGGTCGATTCAGCCTGAGTACCTGGTGCGGTGTGTAAACATCTCCACCGGGGAGACAGAGCGGTCTGGCGTGGTGCTGGCCACCCACCCCCTCGTGTGTGGTGCCGGCCTTTATAGGTGCTCGAGCCTTTGCCCCAGCAGTCTGTTCGTCTGTGTGTTTATTCTGTGCACACATGTGCAGTATCTGTGCGTGAGAACGGTGGTGCAGTGCGCACTGCAGTATGAACTCGGCAAGCTGAGTTCAATTCCTGGCTCTAAACATAATCGGTGCCAAATGGTGTCCGATCCTGTTTTGGACCTCCGCTAGGTACACTCAGCCTTAATCCTGCTGCAGGCTCGCAAAGGCGACTCTCGGTTGCAGCTCTCCCTGTACGGCACAAAGTGAACGCGCTTCGGCCTACAAGCGGGCATTTTTTTGCCGGTGGGCAGCGAAGTTGCTTCGTGGTTTTTCCAATTCAGCAAATTTGCAAGTAATCTATCAAATTTGTAGCATAGAGGCAAGCCCGGCGCGCTCTTATTCCTCCCGCCGGCTTGCGCTCCCAAGTCGCAGCGAGCGCTCGCAACAACCAGCGTCGCTTACGCTCCGCGCCGCGGTCGGACCGAGCTGACGTGGAGACCTCCGTGTTGTGTCCGACCACAGAGCGCAGCGGCGGCAGCCGCGGCAGCGGCCCAGAGCCCAGTGCTGGGAAATCTTCCCCCAAATGACGGCATGCCCAGCGGACCGCTCCCGCCCGGCTTCTTCCCGGTACGCACCCCACGCACGGCACCCCCGGGGACGCGGGTCGCGTGCTCGGGAGACGCGAGCACGCGTGGTCTACGCCTGCTCGGGTAGCCGCGGTGTCGGCGTGACCACCTGTGGGAAAGCTACCAAACGTCCCAATTTGGTTGAACGCGTAGTAGGCTTTCGCGACCAATATCCGTAATAAAGGGGGTTTTTTTTGTTTGGTTGGGTCTCGATTTGGGGGGGGGGGTGGGGGGGAGTGCGATTACGTGGTCTGTGACGTCTGAAATCCACGCGTTCCTCTTTCCATCCGGGCGTAATTCCAAGCATGCATCTCTCCGGGCTTCTTGGCGCACTTTTCACTTTTTGTTTATTTACTTTTGTAAGTCAACGCCCATGTTTCTGCATCGTGCGTCGTGTCCTAGCAAGTAGCATCCACCGTTAGTTTATTTGACTAAAATGGAGGCTTTTTTTAGACGTGAAAATTGCGGCTTGCGTGCGTGCGAGCGTGCGTTTCTTTTTTACGAAATAATAATACCGATGGTAATCGTGTGTTTACAGGGCCCCCCAGGCTCACAGATGTCTCCACACGGGCACCCGGCTCCTCCCCACACACCCAACAACCCCATAATGGGACCGCACGGACAAGTGAGGCTCCTAATGAACCCGCACACCCAGCTCTAGCGCACGTCGCGACCCGGCCGCTCGTGTTGATCTCGCTCTTCCGGCGGCTCATTGTCGCACGGTATTAAAACAAAAAATCATCGTCGATCGCAACGCATCCCAACTGTGCCGTTTGAACCACGTGGTCAACGAGGCTCATTTTGTCGTGGGAGTGATCCCACACCCAACAGCACCTACAGGCATTTCCATATCACTGTCACAACGATGGTGAAGGCAGAGGGGGTAACTGTGCAGCCCCGGAAATGTCTTGCTTACGACACTGCTGGCGGAAGGGCCTCCAGATCTGGAGAGCCCCTCTGGAGGGTGTTTTGGCCTTCTCTTCCGTGCAGGCCAGGCATCTTGGAAGAGGTGGGAATACCCACAATTTACCCCACCACACACGACCCCCCGATCAAATTACTGTGCTGCGTCCATTTAGATTGCAGGGTGGACAGAGGTAGAGGGGATTTATTCATGGCGATAAAATGAGTACTACCTTCTTCTTGGTTCTTTCGGTAAAGTCACGTAACTTTACCGAAAGAACCAAGAAGATGAATCCCTGCAGTCACGAAAGCTTTAAATCGAAAGAGTACTACCTTGTGGAAAAGTCCTTTGTATAGGCTGGCGCCTGTCACAGGAACGTGGAATTTCCACCACTGGCTCGGGCTCCCGGTGGTGGTGAGTGCTGTGCCAGTGCTTGTTTGAGCAGAGAGACAATTTGGCTTAAATGTGTTCGTGCAGCCATTGGTGACTGACCTGAGATCAACAATTCACAACACTTCAGAACCCAGGTTGATTGTGGGCAGCCGATTCCAGATGTGAACCCAGCGTCGATCATCTCATTTGCTCCGATGTCCTGAACCAGCCGACCACACAGCGTCCTCATGGCCACCACCAAATGTTTCACCACGACATTCCTTTCAAGCTGCATGAATATTTAATTCGAAAAAGTTATAACACGAGCATAAATATAATAATAACTACAAATAATACAATTGATATGAATTTTTAAAAGCAGAAACTCGTAGACAGTAAAGCAAAACATGGTGAACTCAAATTAGGCCGCTGGGTATCCGAGTGATTGCTTGGAAACAAGTTGTTAATTTCCCGCAGTCACCGACTGTTTTTCCCCAGCGCATTAGTGTGCAAGTGTGCCCCATTGTAAGCCATGTAATATCCTGAATAGCGTCCTCAACTTCACACTTACCCAATGGCGAATGGTGAAATACAGTGTACAGTAAATGTTCTGGGTAAAAGCAGAAACACACCTGCATGTCGGCAGGGCCTCAGCTGGTCAGAATGAAAATAAATTGAGTTCCCGAAGAAGCTCCCACGGAGCTTGTCGAGCGAAACGTCGGACATCGCGCCGAACAGCACGCGGCACGACCCGAGCACGCATCGGAGAGCGGTGCGGCACAACCGCGAACACCTCGGCCAGCGTACCTCATTGCAAGGCCCGCGGGCCACTGGCGGCCCCTGGTGGCCTTTAGTGCGGCCCCTGACGTGCGGCCTCCCACAGTACACAAAGAGTGAACACACCACCCATTATCATCGTCGTGCTGCTGTCAAACCCCCAATGGATTTTAAATGTGTGGCAGCCCTCACACTGATGATGTCTTATCCGCGAAAGTGCCTCCTCCCTGAAAATTCGTGAACTCTGACCTACGCAGCGGTTAAATGAAGGGCATTAACTTTAAATAAATTGGCTGGTGCATTTGTACCAAAATGAGCCCTCCGCTTGCTCTGCTTGATGCGTTTGAGCTGCTTGATGCTGCGGTTTTCACTGCTGCCCCTTTGCCGTGTAAACAAAACGTACGCGCTCGCCCGCGTGGGCTGGTATGCTAACTGCATTGGGGGGCAACGTTGCTGCTGTTGCGTTTAATCATCCCAATAGAGTCATTTGCAAGCCATGCTTTGAGCGCTGGAACGTTCCGCTGGTATCTGTAACAAGTGCGCGACTTTGTGGCTCGTGGATTACGTAACGCTTCCCAATGCGCGTTCGTCCGTGCACGGATTCAAATCAGCAATAGGGAAGACAGCCGGTTCCAGTCCAAAACATGTTTGCATATTTGTTTATACGGAAGTCAATTTGGCCGGCTTTTTTAAAACCTAAGTCCCTAACAGCAACACAACGTTGCAGGTTCGTTCATCTTGCTTCACCTTTAGCTATTGTCCCCCCCCCGCTTCCACACATACGGACGGACAAACAGAGCTAATGCTTTAAGCCTTCGTTGGAAATCGTTAAAGAGGAAACACTGTAACCCCCCCAACCCACTCACAACCCGATTGACGCACGCGCTGTTAGCGAGAATATTTGTAATGCACCCTGCCCCATGAAGACATGTGACGGCCACTGTTTCTGTACAGCGCCTTGAGGTGTGGTCGGATCATCTCGCTACCGCCACGGTGGCTAGGAGATGTTAACTACCTCACCTGGTATACAGGAGGTCGTGGGTTCGACACCTGCTGTATATTTGGAGTTTGCGTGTTCTCCCTGTGGTCACGTGGATTTTTCTTCAGGTCCTCCGCGTTGAGAGTATTTGACTGCTATAAATGTCCACATGATGATAAGCCACTTCGATAAGCTATCAGTTGTGGCCAGGTCGCTTCTGAAAAGAGCTATATAGCTCAGTGGGCCCTCCCTCTTTAAATAAAAAAATATTTGTACTATTTTAAAAATAAAATCGCTTTAGTTTATTTCGACGATGCCGCCGCTCTGTTTAATGCAAATTCTATCCCGTTACTTCGCGTTATGGCCACAGCATTCTCCTGGCTGCCTCCATTGCCCCCAGCTGCTGGTTCAGATGCATCGCACCAGATTCGGGAGGGGGGGAGGCGCAAGCCAGGTTCGGGAATTGAACTCTGGTGCCGGGTCACTGCAATGATAGCGCAGTGATCGGCAGTGCTCCCACGTGCGCTGGGGCGTTGGCCGTGGTAATGTTTCACCCACTCGGCGGTTTGGTCAACGGTCCTGATTCAGGACTACGGTTCAGTTCAAGCGGCACCTGCTGGCCTACTGTTGTGCTGTTTTCACTGGCATCCACGTTCTGTTCAGCATACATTGTAAATATTAGTTTTTTATGCGTATATCGGGAGCGTAAGACTACATTTTACTTTCATTGATAAATGGCTGTAGTGCTTCAAATATGTTTCACGATACTGCATTGGGTAGCGGTTCATTAGGAAAGACAACGCAAACGCAACACATTTGTCAACACTGTGGCCCTAAATTTTTTTTTATATATAATAGGCGACGTTTCAGGCAATGACCCATAGCACAGATATGTTTTGTTACATGCTTAATATACGCAGTATGTAAGCTTGTACTGTATTGCCATGTACTCTATATAATATATGCAGTATGTAAGCTTGTACTGTATGGCCATGTACTCTATATAATATATGCAGTATGTAAGCTTGTACTGTATGCTCATGTACTCTATATATAGAACGTGCAGGTCTGTTGCAGACCAATGCATTAAAACAGCAACATTCACGTCACATAAATTATTGTATATATTATTCCGTCTCCTGCGTATGGATTAGGCAATTAAAACACGTACATTTTATCACTGTCAGATGGCGAGACCCTTAACTATACTGCACGCCTTTGTTGCTGCATATGCTTCTAGGAGTGACGTTTCACTTGGCTTGCAAGCCCTCGCTTGCTGGGTGATGGCCAAGCAATCCCAGCTGTAGGCGTGTGGCCCCCTCTGTTGGATTCAAGGTGGAGGGTGCAGCCCCCACCACCCACCCACCCTTCATTTGCTCGCTGGCGCTACTGCTGGCAGAAGAGGCCTCTCCCACTCGGAGGGGATTTTGACCGCTCTTCCACTCCGGCCAAGGTTGCCTTGGAATAAGTCGGGTCATAGCCACGTTTTACCCCACCGCACCCGGCCTGCTGATCGACTGTCTCTGGTTGGCCCATTTATGCTGGAGATGACATGGGAGCTTCAATGAACCTGAGCATTGAGTTTGTGAGCCCCGGCCAGACGTGTCACTTGTCGGTGTCACCCGAGTGGTTGCAAATTCCTTGTGTGGCCAATAACAGTGAAGTATGTGAAAACTATTTGAAATGAGTGGGTTTGACAAGTAATTCACTTCTTGGTTCTTTCGGTAAAGTCACGTAGAAGGGAAGTAATGAAATAATAAAAATAAAATATAATAAAATGTATTATCACCATCTTTAGCAGTACCCATATATTTATACGATTAATAAGAGTGAAAGCTTTAAATCGAAAAGTAATTCACTCGTATTAATCGTATAAATATATGGGTACTGCTAAAGATGCTGATAATAATTTCTGCTCTGGCCCATGGACTAATTGGGTTATCTGCCACGGCATTGAATCCGTGGCATGTGGATTGCAAGTCCAGTGTGCTACCCACTACACCACTGTGGCAGTCCAAAATTAATCCCCAGAATTGTGAATTTTTATATCCACGAATAGTTAATTTTCCGCTCCGAGTGTCAAACATTTCTTCATAGCTGTGTGCCCAAGACAAACTGTTGCGGCCTGGCAAAGAGGCTTCACACCCTGACACATGAACAAGGAAAGACGCGTTAATCAGACATAGTGATAATCAGTCGCGTAATTAACGTCTGGGGAAGCTCATGAAAGGAATGAGAACGACTCATGTTTTGACAAAAAAGTTACAGGAGAAATCAAATTTACACTGACAACTTTCCTCCAAGTAAGATGATTCATGCGTTGAGCCTTTCCACAAGGTGAAATGGTGTGTGTGTGTATATACATTTGTGTACGCATGTTATCAATGTGCGTGTGTACATTTAAGTGTATGTGTGTGTGGTGAATGGCGACTGCTGGTGCGGGGGTGGGGGGGGGGGGGCGCTTGCGCATTGCACTGTGAATCCGGAGGTGTACGAGTTTGATTTCAAACCATGGCCTTACCATCGGACTTGTTCCACGTGGAATTTGTTATTTTGAATGGGAGTAGTAAATTGGTGAACTCGGAGAGACGTGGCGTGCCGGTGGGGGGGTTGCGAGGCTTGGGGTGTGGGGAAGCCTGGGCTGTAGCGACCTCGCCTCACGTCGCCCACTTCCACCCTCTCGCCGCTCTTGGCACCCCCTACGATTATTTGACTCCAGTGCCCACGCCTCAGGTGCCACCTCCACGAGGGTGATGCGGTGCTAAACCGCCGTTGCCACGCGCAGGCGGGAATCACATCACTTACCCCATGGTTTCTTGTTGGTAAGTGTCATAACCACTAGACGAACATGGCCGCTTTAGACAAAAAAAAACTTGAGCCGCTTTAGGAAGCAAATTATGGGTTTGTGTTGCTTTAGTTTTCGTGTCAAATGTTTCTAAATGAGATCCATTTCAAAGGGGGCGTTCCACGCCTGTTTCTCAGGTCCCATGATCGGCGAGTGCACGCCAGCAACATTTTCACATTTTACAGGTCAGTGGGAAACGCTTCCCTGGCTTCAAGGGAAATGCGTTGTTCAGTGAATTGTGTTGTCAGGTGTTCTGAATCCTGCAACCCTGAGAGATAGAAAGCGTTTCACCTGGATCTGTGGGTTTAATATTGATTCAGAGTTTCTGGATGTTAAGCCACTCTTCATCGTCATCATCATCATTCACGTTCAATCCGCCACTGCCGAATGAATAACTCCCCAAGCCATCACCGTATCACCGCGTGGGGAGGCCTTCATCCAGTGGTGAGTTGACAATGGGCTGTAAATTATATTATTTTGTATTTATACGCAAATATGTGTGAAGACACAAAATCTTACCTTGTGTACATATCTCATAACCTGAACTAGTGACTCCGTATTTCCCTCTGTGGTGGCAAATTGAGGTCAAGGCCTGAAAGTGACTCCGTATTTCCCTCTGTGGTGGCAATGCACACTCTTAGACCGATGGATCAGTTGATTCCTCAAGCATCAGTTCGAGCCTCTCTAGGGGTTCTATCGAGCTCCCTCCAGTGGAGGCCTTTCCATCACTAGTAGCACGGACAAGCAATTTCAGGGCTGCAACATTCATCTTTACTGTATTGGCGTTACAGCAACTGTTTTCATTGGAGGGTGGTGGATCTTGCGTGCGTTGGTTTTCTCCTGGCACTCCGAGTTCCTCTTGCGTGGAGAAACGATGAAAGCGGACTTCACGTTGCACTCCATTAAGACCCCTTCATTCAAGGCTCTCCAGGGAGTATTGGCGAGAGTCTTGTGGGAAAATACGTACTCTTGTTATAATTGATCGTGCTGCTGTGTGTGTGTGTGTGTGTTCTCGTGTGTTCCAGCCGTTCATGTCTCCTCGGTACCCAGGAGGACCCAGAGCACACCACAGGATGCCTGGTCAAGTAAGAGAGGCTGCTTCTCACGACATGCTCTGTCTGGACTTGTCCTGGCTAGAGGCTGCTAGAAAGTAGTGTTAATTGAGGTGTCATGTTTAATTAATTTAGTCGTAGTATTAGTCTAGCCGACGACAACATGTGACGTGCTAGTCGAGTCTTAGGCGACCCGTATTCTTCGTCATGGCTCGGCTCAGGCCGCGCTCTGGCTCAAGGGAGCTGGCTCAGAGAGCTGGCTCAAATTGGATTCCATGAGCTGAGCCTGAGCCACAGCTAAGCCATTCGTGAACACGTCTGTAGGTCGTGCATAACCATGTGAGTTGGTTTTTTCTCAGTATAATAATAAATAATAATCTGTATTATAATGATAATAATAAGTATAGACCACATTGACTAAAATGTCTAGACCAAGGGAGACCTGGGTTAAACAAGTACCAGCATAGCAATTATGAATGCCACAATCCCCTTATACAATTCATCGTCGTGGGTTAGATGAATTATGTTTAATTTTGCAGCTGTAGGTGCCGTGGCTTGTGGACGTATGGGACCGGGGGGCCAAAGCAACAAACACGGCACAAATCAATCCGGCCATAAAAAAATTAAACGGCACCTTTGCCTCCACGCCTTTGGTCACATTTACTTAGATTAGCGGAAAGTAAGGTGGATAGCTCGACTGAAACACATAGCGTTGGCAGATTTTCCCATCGTTGTTACTGGAGAATTCTCGATTTTTTTTTTGTACTTTACAAGAATTGCGTTGAAAGCAATCACCAACAAGAAGTGCATCACGTTTATTTCTGTCACAGCCTCCAGGTGCTGTCGCAGGCCCGCAGACTCTCCTTCCCAACAACATGGACCCCATCAGGAACCCAGGTGAGCGGCTGGGCACAGACGAGAGAGTGGCAGATGGAAATGCAGGGCAAAGGTCGCAAACGGGTTTTGATTCCTTACCCGTACCCGTACCTGGCCGGGTACGGGTAGCCGGGTATCGGGTAGGGTACGGGTATCGGGTACCCGGTTGCGACCTCTGTGCAGGGGAGAGAGACGGGAAGTCTGTGTACGCGGACGGAGGGGAGAGAGGACACTGGACAGAAAACCATGCAGGGAAGGCAATTAAGATAAAGTTGAGAAGAGAGGGGAAGGAAATTATAGGAAGAGGGAGAAGTTGGTGAGGGAAGAGGGTGTAAAGGTTGTGGGAGAGAGATACAGACACTCCGTGCCGTATTACTGGATACATCCGTGGCAGGTATTGCTGTGTCCTCTCTGGAGTGGTATTCTGAGCTTACGAGTGCATTTTAACATGAAAATACAATTCTTCACTGGATATTTGTCCATTGGTGGCCACGTGTGGCCACGTGTGGGTAGCAGTGTAGTGGTTAGCGCACTGCCCTACGAACCCCGCGACCCTGGTTCAATACCCACTCACGGCCACCACCAGTGACGATTGACTGAACCGGTCCTGGGCCTTCCCTAGGTTGACTCAGCCTCAAATGAGTACCTGGTGTAGTGTGTAAACATTGCCACTGGGGAGACAAAGGCGCCTGGGCTTGGTACTGGTCACCCACCCCCTCATGTGCCGTGCCGGCCTTCATAGGTGGTCACGAATAGCACTTGCCCCTACAGTCTATGGAGGCTATACGAGGGATCTTTGTATTTTGTGTGGCGCTGTGGTTAGGACACTGTTACGACGCTGGCAAACTGAGTGCAATTCCCAGCCACTGCTAACAGTAGCAATTATGTGAACCAGTTGTGAGCCTCTCCTAGGTCTACTCGGCATTAAATGAGTACTCGATGCGACGTGCAAACATCACGACTGATGAGACGAACGCGGCCAGGCATGGTGCCGCCCACACCACCCCTAGTGTGTGCTGTGCTGGTCTTTTAAGAGGTGCTCACGAACAGCACAAGGCCCTATGACGTGTAAGGCTAAAGGGAGGTGTCTGCGCGTCTATTTGTTTTGTCACAAAGCCATGCTGACGTCAATTACAGACTTGGCAAGTGGCGCCGGGTGTTTTGCCAACGGTGTGCGAGTGCACACGTTGAGTCTGCCAATGTGCACAGAGGCGTGTGTACACACCGGCTCGCGCTCATTTAATTAGCGCACGCGCATTTGTGTACGTTAGTGGAAGGGGACGGAATGTGTCCACTCGGACGCGCGTCACCCGGGAAGATGGAGCGATGGAATCGGCTCGCGGTGGAGGCATCAGGTCGAGCGTTGCACCGCAGGATCGTGAGAGATGGCGGCGGCATTCATCCAGCAGTGGATTGATCGTAGCTGACGACGATCATGGGAAGGGAAAGTAATGGGGAGGTTCTAAAGCAGGTTTGGGTAGAGAGAAATTCTAAAGGCAAACAGTGTGGATTGATCTTCTTGGTTCTTTCGGTAAAGTCACGTAGAAGGGAAATAATAAAATAATAAAAATAAAACACCATAAAATAATTCTCACGACGTTTCGGCCACAACGCAAGCAGCCGTCCTCAGGTGAAGAACAGGTCTGTCGGGAAGATTTAATTTTGAAGGAAGTTCTGGACGGAAGGATTCCGGCATGAGAGGCAGAAAAATAAATTTACTGCTTGGAAACTTGAAGGAAGCGGGAGCTGGACATGGGAATGAAGACGGTAGCTGAAGATCAGATAGGATGTAGGGAGTTTAAGCCAAGCACCTGCTGTTGGGCAGAGGACTAAAGAGATAGCTATCACACAGCGCCCTATATTCTCAGTGACCTGGGTTCTATTCCTGCATGCGCACCGTGACATTTAGCATCTAACCCTGGCCTCGAACTCCGCTGGGTCGGTGCACTTTAAAATGTATATCTGGTGATAGTGGGTGAGTGTATTGAAATGAACACAAAGGTGGTGTTTGTACTCTGCGTGTGTCTCCGTGTGGACCGCCGCTGTCCGCAGGTCACCCTGTGATGGGCCCCCTGCAAAGGATTGGAGGGCCACGTGGGATGGGACCGATGGGGCCTCAGGTATGGGACATGACAAGTTTTGTTTGACTTTGTGTCCCTATTACATTGTAATTGTGCTCTTGGCATCATGCAATGAGACAAATACATTCCCATCTTGAGGTCCGCAGTGAGCGTTTGTATAATTTACTAGCAGGAAATACCCGGCGTTGCCCGGGTACTTGCGGCTATCTTTTCTGAATGTAGAATGGCTCAATCACTGTATTCAGAAGGGGTCAATGGCGTTACAGCAACTGTTAAGATTTTGCTGTACCATGGGGCCTGTAATAAATGTTAGGTGACGTGCCGCAATGGGGTACGAAATTACATAGCAACATTTTTTTTTTAAGCGTCAATGCCGTTTGTTTGTCGCGCACGGAGAGACGGTGGGCAAGCTCACGGTGGCTGACCGCTAATTGGAATCACCAACGGTGTTTTTTGGTGGTCAATCAATGGCAATAGTTAGATTAACTTTATGAGGAGGAGGGGTCGTTATTTAACTGTTAGATGTGCAGGGCCAGGTTATTGTGTGCTGAGTTAGGGAGGGTGATGTCCCGGGAGCGTGTGGGGAGACGTTTGGGGGGCTATGGGCACTCCAGTATAAAAATGTCAGCTCGCCATTGTAGCTAAGGTTTTCCGCGTGGTTTTAAAATGTAGCGCTGCCAAGTATGGTGGCGGTAGCTTCAAGGTGTGGATTTGTATTTGGAACAGACAGACAGACTTTCATTATATATATAATAGATACAAAATGTACACTGTGCATACAAAAATAACCTCGATCTATTTCTTTGCAGGGTTACGGACCAGGAATGAGGCCTCCTCACAATTCGTTGGGAGGCCCTGGGATGCCAGGACTTCCCTTGTGAGCAACACCCAATTTCAATTAACAGCCCTTTCGTTTCGTGCACTAACAGGTGGTTAGAGGGCCTGAGTACAGACCGACTTAAGCAATTAAAAAAATTGCGTAAGCTGACGCTCCTGTCGTAACTCCTGATTCCATAAGCGAGTCAAGAGAGTTAAGCTTTGTAAAGTTAGGAGAGAATCAATGGGCGGTCAGGACCCATCATTCTTACATTGATGGTCCAAAAGCAAAGTAAACTAATAGTGAAATAATATAATTATTGGCACTATTACTCGTAATAACATTAAATAAAGATTAATCACCCCAGCCACTGACCGGCTTCCGCGCACAGTGATGATGTCAGAGGCGCCATGTTGCGTGAGTGAATGTGTGGTGGCCATGTTTCATGGACTTTCATTGGCTGCTGTAGTGGGAGTGATGACGCAATCCATAGCAACTTCTGACATGCCCCTCGATATCCAATCTTACTATGGCTGTAAATCACCCACACACTGACCACACTGCAGGTCACCACACTTCTCTCTCTGCTTCTTTCCTACCTCGCACACTGCTCCACTTTGGATTTCCTCTGCCATCATCTCTTTGATCCAGGCTCTTATTACCTTGCTGAATTCAAGACACGTGTTACACCCTTCCCTCTTAAAACTTTCATGATACTGTTTGTTGCTGAACCTTTGGACCTGTGCTCAAGAACTGTGTTTAAGAAAATGCTCTCAAAAAAGTGCACAGCGGCATTGTATCGTCCGTGTGGTCACCATTGGCTCTGCTGGTGTCCTATGGAGGTGAGCACCCTGAGTGCACTGCGTAACGTCGAGCCGCGTCGCACGGGAGAATCGATTCGTCAGTCAGTTCATCGTTAATGCCAATGCTCAATGCTCATAATTCATGCGTCCGGCGGCCTGTTTAAGAATCAAACTTTTGTTTAATTTCGTGCAAATTGTGTGCAAGTGACATGCAAATGTCACGCGAGGCAACTGGAGCAAGCACAAACTACGTACGAGATAAGAAGAGAATCCAAACGGGACACACAAGGTGAAAGGATTGATCATTGAATAGAATTGTGACCCACGATTCGCGACAATTCCTCGACCTTCCGCGAGATGAATTATGACACTCCTCGTGCACGGGGACTAACGTGTTGACGCTGCTGCCCATTGGGAGCTGGGAGGGAATTTACACCGTGGAAGTGACGTGAATTATTCTGTTCCATGCAGAGTCCCAGGTGGTCGACCGTGGCCCAACCCAAACTCAGTAAGTCATGTTTTACTCTTGACGCATTTAACCACATGTCCCGATTGTGATATTGGCATCCAGGCAAAGGACAAATCACTTTTGCATTCGAGAACCTCCCCACAGACCACGGAGCTGTCTCTTCACATGACCTGACACTGACATTTGCTTCTCCTGCCAAACACTGTTTAAAATAAATTAACGCGTGGTTGATGGCGTGCGTGCGGATGGGTGTCCACAGCGCAATAATCAAAGAGTCTGATGTGCTTGTCGGTACATTGTATGGAATAATAAGAGATTAATTTTGATGAATAATGGGCGCGTAGGTAAAAACAACTTTTTGGAAATGCAGCATCATGGGAAATCCCCAGAGCATTCTGGCTTAGCCACAAGGTTAAACATCTAAAGTATGACTTCTTAAATAGTAAAGCGTAAGCAAAAAAACCTGCCACTGCTTATTAACGCTGAGATGTTTGGTTTCTCTACTGTTACATTATACCAAAGGGTTATAATAATATAATAATAACAAAAAAGCCAATGATGTATTTCACAGAGCCTCAGTGAGTCTAAAGAGCCTTATTTCAGGAGGGTCCTGCATCTGCGCCATTTGGTCAATTCTATTTCGGAGTGGTGTTATGCAAAACAGTCCACGCTTCCTGTGAGTTGTGTTGTCTGTGGTTATTGATGAATTACCTTGTTGATGAGACGGATTGTCAAACGCACACATGATGAGATCAGTTATCATGCAATTTGAATCATAACATGTTTCTATTTCTGCAGATTCCTTACTCTGTTCCCTCACCTGGAAACTACGGGGTAGGTGTTCTTATTTTATGTAATAATTTCCAGATGCATATATAACCGTGATTTGAAAAATACCACTGTATAACCAAGAGAACGTCCATTTAACAGATCCATCTTAGCCGTTGATTGCAGATGTAAAACGAATTTCTTCATCAACATTCTCAGATTATTTACGTGTGTCATCTATAAAGGGGTCCGTGTCGTGTTCATTGGGGTCAACTTCAGTTCCACAACGCAACAAGGGCAGTTTCACCATCGGGTTCCTCCTTCAACCCCACTCTTTCTCTGCTTAAATCTTTAATGTATTCACATACTTATTTGTACGATTATTTGACATGGTTGGGAGGAAGATGTGGTGGTACATTGGCTAGGGCCGTGTGAATTCACACCTTTGCAGTGCCGTTTGGTTCATCGTGTGATTAAAAAGGTGTTTGCGTTTAACTTACAAGGCCCGTCGCATTCGTACACCCGCTTCATCATCCACTCGCCTACCTCTCTGTGTTCGCGTAGCCGCTTTGTCACTCACCGAGGTGTCTCGTTTTTTTTCCTTCCCTCCCGTTGAATGCATTTCCATCAGGGTCCCCCTGGCAGCGGCCCACCAGGAACTCCCATCATGCCCAGCCCAGGAGGTACGGCCGAGCGTGTCCGTCACCCCGGAGTTTAGCACGAACGTGTGTGGATCATGACGCACGATGCCACGCGGAGATTTTAAATCTGCGCGTCCAGGGCAGCGAACGGTGTAGCTCAGCGGTGTGGAGTCTGTTCCTTACCCATCGGCGAAGAGGAGACTTGCACGTAACCTTTGGCGGGCCCACACATCGACACAAACCTCAGCGTCGTTCAGTGATAACGTCAAAAACTATGGGGGCTCACCTTGACCTCACTGATGTGGTGCTTGCGTCCGCTTTCCTCGCACCAACACCTGGATGTGAACATTTCCCTCTAGTACCCAATTGTACCAGCTGAGATACTTGCAATAATGTACAAATCGCTTTTGCCGACCGCTCCACAGCGGCAGGCCTCGTGTGGGTGCGGGGCCGTACCTTCAGTGGCACAGCGGTCTTAGCCCACCGGAGATAAAAAACTAAAATATTTTTATTTTACAAGGTAAGCTCCACTGAGCTCTATAGCTCTTTTTCAGGAGCGACCTGGTCACAAATGATGGTTCAACGAAGTTGCTTATCACGGGGACATTTATAGCAGCCAAATACTCTAAATGCACGTGGAGAGAAACACCGGAGGACCCAGAGAGGCAGTTAACACCTCGCCAGCTGTGATGATGTCCACGACACACGGTATTCGTTCAGAGCCCCAGCTTTCCAGGCGTGACGCTTCGCACGTGCGGGAGTCTCGCGGAGGAGCGACGTATGAGGTTAGCGCCCGAGAGTCGAAAGCAGAGGGTCACGATGCTCGCTTGTGGAATAGTTCCCGCAGCCGTGCGGGGGGTGTTCGTGTTTGTGCAGGGGGCCCGTGCCGCGCCCGTGCCTGTGGCCCGCCTGCTCTTTGTCGCGTTGATGTCGGTTTTCTATTTTAAAAGTTTCTCTTCTTCACCCCGAGAGGGCACTCACGATCAGCTGTGCCAGAGAGTAAGAAGAGACGCTCGATAAGCGAAGCTGGCAGACAGACAGGCAGGCAGAGAACAAATCTGTCTCATGCACAACCGATGAGAGTCCAGTCCAGTGGATGTGCTGAGATAGGACGTTTGATCTCGATTTGCGAAAAGCAATTTCATGTTTCCTAAGAGAAAGACACCTGAGCTACTTACCAACCTCCTGATACAACGCAATGCAACGCAGTTTGTCGTCTCGGCGTGCGTGTTGATGAACGTGTGTGTTTTTGTTCACAGATTCTAACTCGAGCGACATGTACACCATGATGAACCCCGTGCAGCCAGGGAACCGGCCAAACGTGAGTCTCGTGACTTGGAGCTTTACAACGGAAGCTGGGCAGTCACCTGGGCAGTCACCTGGGCAGTCACCTGGGCAGTCACCTGGGCAGTCACAAAGAATTGAAAGCAATTAGGTGCTAACTGACATCATCATCATCAGCCATGATCAATCCACTGCTGGATGAAGGCCTCCCCAAGCCATGGCTATCCCTCACTCTCGTGATACAACTATCCATTCAGCTGCAGCATACGAGCTGACTTCATCACTCCATCTCCGTGCTGGACGTACTCTTGGACACTCCCTCCGCCGTTAGTCTCGACCAGCGGCATGTCCTGCCCAAGCCCACTGACTTTTTCGAGCGGTCAAAATCATGTCTCCAACTGGCGTACGTTCTGCAATGGACGCGTTCCTCTTCCCGCCTCTCCCGTGTTTCTCCAAACGGGCACCTCTCCCTGCTTCTTAGTGCACATTCCGGCCTGTGTTCCGTATTCTTCGTCAATGTCGATGTTTCTGATTTAGATGTCACCGCAGGTGTGATTAACTCTGGTGAAGGCACATCTCCTTGTGTGACTCCCCTCCCACTCAATATTTTGTTCCTTTCATCGTGCCATCTGAGTGGAGCTAGCTCTTCCACATTTGTAAAAAAATACATTTCTTCTATGTTTTATTTAGGTCTCAGTTCGTAAGAGCTTGAATGACTGAGAAAACTGCAGCCACCGCGCAGATGGTGAATTCCAGTGCAGTGTGCGTTGTGGGAGGCAGGAGGGGAAGGGCTTTGAATGGATGGGGCATTGGAGGTAGAAACGTACAATGATGATTATTTCCGGGACATGCCGTAGGCCTGACTCACAGAAATTGAAGTGCGGCATATGTTATTGGCACGCGTGAAGCGTACGTGAATTTTCTGTTGATTTTAATTCCAATTCACATTTTTACTTTCAAAAGTGCCAGTTCGTTCAAATAACGTTTGTAAGCAAATCTGGCTGTCGCCTGATCAAGCTAGTTAGAATTATTGGCGAAATATCGTACTCAAATTGTAAATGTTGTGGATTTGCTCTCCAATACACTGGTGTGCTGTACTAGTGACGAATTGGCCACGTTCTGTTTACGTGACAACCCTTACTAGTTGGCTGTGTCGGGTGGTGGCGGGTTTAACGACACATTTATACATTTATGCGATCTAACCCAAAAAAAAACGTATTATGAACGTTTGTAAAACCTACTGAGTGGCGAAAAGTGTACATGTCATTCCAATAACCGTACCCTACATACAAACCCGTCAAATAAATGCAATTAGGACACAGCGAAGAAGTGTTCATTCCATATAAGATACCCACGATAAATTAAATCCAATTATTTTAAATTATAACCAGGATGCCACGAACAAGAATGCATTACTCAGAGAGCATGATGGTACCAGTGGCTTTTAAAGTGAAATAATTGTTATATTTAGGAAAATGGTCGTTTACTTTATGAGTAAAAACAGAGTAATTTTGATTGGAATCAGTATTTGTTTTCTTACTTCCGAATAGAACTCCATTGTATGGTCTGGATGGGTTAGCGTCACCTGACAGGTCGCTGCGTGTGTCTCTACGCCGCGTGTCTCCACACCGCGTCTCTCCACGCCGTGTCTCTCCATGCTGCGTGTCTCCACGCTGCGTGTCTCCACGCTGTGTCTCTCCACGCCGCGTCTCTCCATGCCGCGTGTCTTCACGCCGCGTCTCTCCATGCCGCGTGTCTGCCCACAGTTCCCCATTGGTCCCGGCCCGGAGGGGCCGATGGGCTCCATGCCTGGAATGGGCCCCATGGAACCCCATCACATGAACGGCTCCATAGGTGGGTCCCGCACAAGAGATTGGGGATTGGAAAGGTGGAGATGGGAGAGTGGGGATGGGAGAGCGGGAATGGGGGAGTGGTTGATGGGAGAGGGACGATGGGAGATTGGGGATAGGAGGGCGGGGATGGGAAATTGCATGCTGTGATGTAAATTCAATCTAAATTAGAAGTTTTCGTGGGGATCCATACTCTTTGGTTCTTTCGGTAAAGTCACGTAGGTATAAATTTAATTAAATCACGACGTTTCGATCGCAACACAAACAATCATCATCAGGTGGGAAAACCACAAGCAAGAAAAGCCATCACTTCAGCAAACATTTTTTGCTGTAGTTTTCCCACCTGATGATGATTGCTTGTGTTGCGATCGAAACGTCGTGATTTAATTTATTTTATTTTATACCTACGAACCAAAGAGTATGGATGTAAATTTAGCCTAAATTGTTATTTTTGCCAAACTTGTGAACACTCACAACGGATAGAAAAATCTGTCCACGTGTGCGTACTGACTGCCCCATGATGTGCTTGTACCGTATTTTCTATTTTAGATAAACAAGTACTGTACAATTTGTATGTATTTGGTGATGACATCTTTTTATATATATAATTTAGCTATTTTAACGATTCAGGTTACGACGATTTTTCCCCTGTTCCCGCTAGCGATGTGATGAATTGTCACGATTCAGGGCTGTGATTTTATTTAAATAATCTAGAGTTTTTTTTTATTGTGAAGAATTTAGCAGCCACTGGTGGCTGCGTGCATCACAAACAAACACGAATCGAAAAACAATTTTAAAAAATCAGTTCCATCGGTTCCTGCGTTGCTCGATGTGTGTATGTTGAACTTCTTCTGCACCGTACGTAGCCAACCGTGCTAATCGGAGGTGCGGGGGAAGGACAACATGTGTGTATCAAGAGACCCTGAGACATCGATATAAACGGATGAAACGATGCATTGTTACATTGACAGTAGGGTTCCTGCTAATTTTATTTGTTTGCTTGTGCTGTTAGGTTCTGGTGAAATGGATGGAATTCCCAAGGTGGGCCGAGTGCACACGTTCATTTCCTTTTATTGGTTTCTCACAAAGTGATGTAGGGACTTGTGTAACGCACACAAAGTGCAGGAGGAGGTGCCGCAGAAGAATCGCACGAAACCATGCGACGTGGCGCAGTGTAATGACGGGAGGCCTGACTTAAGTGACTGAACGTGCACTACACCAGCACGCCAGCACGTTGCGTCAATGCACCCTCAGCCACCCGACACAGCCAAACAAACCACCTGGACACAGGAGCCAATGGGTTTTACCGTGCGTTGTTCGGCACGATGTCCGACGTTTCGCTCCACTTGCTGGTAGCTTCTTCAGGAACCCAGTTCCTGAACCGGGTCCTGAAGAAGCCGCAGTTAGCTGATTGGCAGCTCATGTTTGATGGTGTAAAGTGTGGGTACGCCCACTTCTTCCAACACGTTTGGTCAATGTGAAAGAATAGAACGAATGCCCTTGAGAGTTCACTGTAGCGGAGGCTTTTCTGCCAGCGGTGGCATGAGCGAGCAATTGCAGGGCTGCCCCTTTGACCTTTCACCTAAACGCATGTGGGTTATTCGATAGCGCGATGTGGGGCTCTGCCATCTTAGTCTTGAAAACAGATGATGCATCTGTCAATTATCTCTTGTTTTTTTTTCATATTTCCTTTGTTTTTAAAGAACTCGCCAAACAACCTCAGCAACCAGCCCGGGACGCCACGGGAAGAGGGTGAGATCCCTGCGGGATTCCTCAACGCCTTTCAGAACGACGGAGTGAGTGTCCCACCGTAATCCTCTTCGTGCGAACTCTCGGTACAGTGGGCGTGGGCAATCCGTACGGTGTCCTGGTAATCAGTCCGCCGACTATAACAATTGCTAGCTATGTGACAATGCATTGATTCATCGATTAAAATCGTTTGTTAATGCTCGTGATACGTGCATAGAATCGTGTGTGTGTGTGTGTGAGAATCTATCATTTTTAGAATTGTGTTTTTGTTGTATGTTCTGGGGTCACATGACCCCTACAGCCACTAGGGGTGCTACATTCAGCATAATGTTAAACCCGAATCATGACAATTCATCGAGATATGAGGGGCTGAAGAGTCGCACGCCTCCTGTACCTTATCATGGCTGACGTGTCGCTTCAAAGGCAACATTGGAATGTTCATACCGGGGTGCAAACTCCGTCGGTGGCATTAAAAACATTTTGTCCAAATGTCCGCTCCCTCTGCCGACCCGCACCTCCCCCTGTCCTTGCTGCGAACGCCCAGGACCAGAATGAGTCGGCTGCTATTTTGAAAATCAAGGAGAGCATGCAGGAGGAGGCGAAGAGATTTGAAAAGGAGCCCGGAGACCACGCAGACTTCACCTTCATGCAATAAACAAAACAGATCTACATATATATATACATACACACACAAACGGGGAAAAAGAGAAAAAAACACAACACGCAGAAGATAACAAATTTATGGACCAAGGCGTTCACAGGCCTGTGTGCGCGAGGTGCTCAAGTGAGCGCGTGTGTTCGTGTCATCTCTGTGGGCAGCATTTGTCTCTATTCTTGAGGTGGGTAAACGTTCCCGATTAACGAAGGGACTTTTACCACACAAAATAAAAAAACACCCTGAACTCGTTCGCTGCATTTAACGCAACGTTCTTAATCCGAGTAAATGTTTTTTTATTTTTCGTGAGTGTTTCAGTAACGATTTGCCTTGCAGCTTCGTGTCTTCGATGGAGTATATAACAGGAAATACATATATATTTTTGTTGTTGTTTTCGTGGGGAGAAAGTGGGTGCAGTGTACGTCATCGTCCGACGTGGGAAGGGACAGAATCGTAACGGAGATGGTTTTGACGGAGGGGAGCCAAACCCAGGCGCTGTTGTTGTCCTCCGTTATCCTTCATGCGCAAGGTAGCTGTGTAGTTGGCACTGTACATTTTTTTACGTGGGAAAAAAAAAAACGATGGGACGGTTATCGACGGATTGTTTTACGTCCACCAAACGTTTGCAAACAACTGTGTGATGTTGTTATCGTCAATTTCTTCCCTTTGTGGTATCGGAGAACGTAAGATGTACTTTGTGTACATTTGGTACGTACATGTGGATTTGTGCGTGTGTATTTGTGTGTGTGCGCGCGTGTACCTCTGTGTGTATACGTGTGTGTGCATGTATGAGGCTAAGAATTTATATCTATCTCAAAACATGTTTCCATTTCCACGCAGTTTATCCCAAAGCTTTATTAGCAGCTCCCTTACCTTTAAAAGACCCCTGCATTTGATTACGAAACACGTGGGTTGTGTAGTTTTTATTTATTTATTAATCATGTTTTAAATGTGCTTATGAACATTGGGCTCAATCTGTGATCACAACAATTGATTCCGAGAGGTTTCATTGCCCTCTCTACCTCGAGCGTGATCGCTTATGGTGTCTAATCCACGAGGCCTTTTTTGTGTGTGTGTGCGAACGTTGAATTTGACCAGTATTTCTACAGTGATATTAAAGGTCTTAGTCTCTGTTGTGTTACTCATCGAATACTGCACACTCTGGACAAGAGATGTACATCGGGTTGCACATCGTAAACATGGAATTTCCCCACGCAGCAGAGGGCATGTGCGTGCACAGCGGCCTAATTTGGCCACAAGACAAATGACCGCACCTTCCAGGCAGATTTTGAGCCAGAATAATGTTTATATTATTTATTTTTAGCGATAAATATATATAGGGCATCTGTTTTTGTTATTTCATTCCATTTTCACTCTTGGCGTCCTTTCATGAGATTTAGTGTCCGTTCGGAACTCATGCAGAGCCATTGAATGTCCCGTGGAATGTGATATCACTGAACGACTTCAGAGGGCCCATCAAGTGACCTCTGATCAGCACCAGGGACGCAGCACTCCCCCCTCCACCCTCATTGTACAATAGTCGACCAGACGTTTTTATTGTTTTTGGCAAATCAAGTGAAAATACACATTGTTTATTTTGTGTGCAGTCATTGAAGTTAGGGGCTGAGACCATCCATTCGCAACAACAGTTGAGAACCTGGCTTGGATTCGAACCCAGGCACTTGGTGGTGCAGGCACAGTGCCCTGACCTCTGCACCACCCGGGCCGGCCACCTTGACTTACCACCGAGGTGGCCGCCTCGTAGGGCCACTGGCGAGATGAGGCCGGTGTTGTGCTGCTCGTGCCCACAATTTGGCCAAGAAGGTGTCGCCGGTTGTTTGTGCCGTTGAGCGGTGCGACCGTAATACCTCTCGTCCCGGTGTGTGCATTATTTAATATCGAGTTGGTGGGGATTTTCACCAGCAGCAGAGAGGACGTTTTGGTTGGCCAATACGCCAGGTTTTGAAATACATACGACAACATTGCTGTGGTATGTTCACCTTCTGCAAGGTGGGCCGCAATACTGCGTCCACGTTGTTGGAAGTGCTGGAGAGTGTCATCGGAACGTGGGGGTATAGACACGGGAGAGGTGCTGCTTTGCGTTATTCTGCGGTGGATCGGTAGGCACCTCGAACTGCTGCGCCGTGAAATGTGGCGACAGTTTTAAGTTCCAAGTTGAAAGGTTCCAAAAATCTGCCAAGCTGTGTACAGCAGAAGGACTTATCATTTATTTTTGTTGATAATAGGCAATAGCTTGCTTTAGGAAGTTCACTTAAAATGTTACTAAGTTGTTGATTGTGCGTCATTGTCGACTTATGTAATTGAGCTTTGCTGAATGTTTTTGTTGTATAGTTTTGATCGATAATTGAATAGTCGATATCACAAGTTTGTTCACACTTAAGAAGAAGCCACTTTTTCTCCGACAGCAGGTTCCACAAACCAAATCCAGAAACGCAAGCCGTGGTGTTACGCGGTCATTTCACCCGGAATGTACGAGTATACGACTGGCATTTTAATAATATTTGTAACAGCGGCCGAGCTAACTTCAGATACCGCAACTCTTATCAAAGGGAAAACTATGAGGGCCTATTTTTAATTTAATGACATTCGCAGTATACTGTATATGCAGTACTGCATACCGTATTTGAAGCTGTCACAACATTGTAAAATAATGGTATTAACCATCCCCATCGATTCACACGTTTTACATTACCATAGTATTGTAGGAAGTGACTTGAGTAGCATTACAGATATTATGTTGTACGGTTCTTTGCGGTATTGTACAATAACTAGTTTTGACCACCCTCGAACAATGCATTATTAGCACTGCTCTTGTCCGCCGTGATGTGGGAGACACACATCGCAAGCCCCAACTACTACTACTATTATTATCCGCGAGGTTATCCGCGAATTTGCTGCATTTATTTGTGGAGAGAAAAAAAAAATCACGGATAACAGGATGAATAAACACGCGGTTAGTAAGAGTTTTAGTGGGATAGGATCACGGATTAGTTGGAGCACTGCTGTATACCACGGTATTACACGCATTGTGTAAGTGAGTGTGAGGGGCGGTTAAAATGTTTCGATAACCAGTTACGGTACTTAGATTTCAAGAAAAGGTCACACCAACACAATGCCAAGCCGTTAATCGAAGCCCAGTTAAGATGGGAACGCTATACAACGATCACTGTACGGGCCAGTACGTGAGCCTGGGTTGTCGAATTCTCGCTGTCACGCCGACGTCAACTTCAATATCCTCTCCCCAAAATGTTTTGTCCGTTCGTGGTTTGTAAAGTGTACATATGATGTTGATTTGTCGCTCTCATTGAATCGTTTTGCTGATATCCTCGCTCTAGATAATGATGATTTCAGGAATAGTAAAATTTCTGATATGCATTTTATTCAAAAGTATTAAAGACAGATTTTTGAAGGTTGATTTCGGTGATAAATTATCGGCTCGGTTAATATAAACGATGAAAGCGGTTCGAACCAAACTATGAATTTCATGCAAATTAAAGTTACGATCACTAATTTAAGATAGTTTCTACCATTGATAAGTCATAAAATCACTTCAGTTATTTAACGTATTAATTAATTTGCTGTTATACGATGCTGTAATTGTTAGAATTGTTTTGTTTAGTGTCTGTTTAATTCTTGGTATATATATTTTTCTATTAATTTGCTGATTGAATTTCCATGGCAGTTATGAATATATAATTCGTAATACAGTCATCTGTTCTGACCAACGGTATCAGTCCACTTGCCTTTAGGTTGGTTGCTATGCGCTGTCAATAATCGATGAGGTAATGGTGATTAACCACAGCAATATTACGAAAAAGTCGTTTACTCCAATGGCAAAAGCACAACGCGTTATTTTTCTAATATAATTTTATTACACCAGCACACTTGAGTTTGTAGTTATATTTAATTGTGCTTGCCAAAATTGTAATTTATTAAGTTATTGTCTAATCGAGCTCACGTCTTTGACACGTCGCATTAAACCAAGTCGTGAGCAGGGCTGTCCGAGCTGCGCTTAGCGCCACCTCGTGGCGGCGACCTGCTCGCTGCAGCTGCAGCAGCAGCGCGCCCAGAAGCCACTGAGGGCAAAGGGCAATTGCATTCAGTGGCACGAGCGCTGAGGGGCAATGCCCTCTGGTGTGCATGGGGGGGTGACAGCCTTCTCATTCATTTGTGTATGTTCACCGCGCTTTCGCCGCAGAGTCGAGGGTGTAACGATGGCAAGATTCGTCAATGAAAATTGATCCTCATCCCCGTGATCCACTCTCACTGTGCGTGGTAATGAATAGATTTTATTCGGTTTGTGCAGTTGGTTAATGTGGCCTCTGCAGACACCACAGGCGCTATGCATTCGACCGCAACGTGGAGACAAACAAAATCGGGGATTCGTTCGTGGGAATCCCAACACAGCAATGTCTAGCTGCGACATAGGAGAAAAAATTACACTTTGTGTTTCCGTCATGTGTGAGTACGCATCTGGCAAACCAAACACTTAATAACTCACAAAAGGTCATTGGTGGCCATGAGAAGCACAGGCTTGTCGAGCGCAGTTGGAATGAGTGAAGTGAGTAAAGTGTTACATTTATGGTTGAGCCACCTATGATGACAATGCAATCAAATCTGCTTGTCACATGAGTCTATGGAGTCAGAGTTGCGGGTCTTCTTTTTGAAAGGCGTTCGTCAAGTTTGTATAGGGACCCCCCACCACCACCAAACCGTACTAATGCACAGTATTTAAAAAAGCTCCCGAGGGTTATAATTCTTCTCATGAGCGCGATTTGGGTCAACGTTTTGGCGAGTACCTTAAAAGTGAGTGACGAAAATTCGATGGGCAAAAGGCTCCCAATTTTATTCAAACGGATGGCTGCATGCGGCTGCAGTGTTTCGCATTGCGTCGTCGTGAGCTCCGCATAACGTCGCAGCAGCAGCCATCCAATCAAAGTGGCCTAGCCATTGATTTACAACTGGGTTGTATTTGAGACGGAGCGTGTCTGTGCCCAGCTATGAAAACCCAGATGTGTTTTTTTTCTACAACGTGAGTGCTGACATCTAGTGTTTGTAATATGACGGCGATTCAACACGTTGTTGGAGCTCTACATTGAATTATTTCACAGCCTCTTCAAAATTAGTTTGAATTGGCACTCAAGATTTGTGGGGTTTGTTTTAACAAAGGGGTGGAGTGAATGTGATGTTATATAAAATTAATATTCTAATCAAAAGGAGTGTTTTATTTATTGGTTCCGGTTAGATCAGTGTAAAATAAACAAAGTGTTTTTGCCGTCGGAGTATCCCTTTTGGGCACTGTCGTTTTATTATTCAATTTTTTTTGCCCCAAATGGAAATGTAAAAGCCTCATTTCCACGCACACACCATCACATCGAAAGATAAATTGCAATGAGCCCGATTTAACTCTTAAACAGCACTTTGGATCATCGTGAAAAAAAAATCCGTTTCGTCATGTTCAGATGCAAACCTTTGTAAACTGAAGATCACGTTTCATTACAGCATCTGAACATTGGAATCCGGTCAATAGATTATACCGAGGAGTGACTTTCTTGCCATCATGGTCCATGCCTGTGTGGATAAGGCACGGGTAGATATCGCAAAGAACCACAACATTACTTAAGTTGTATTCTCCTAAAAGTCCCTCAGAGCAGGATGAGGCCACCTCTGTCATTGCACATCCAATAGTCTAAGGCGCAATTCCTAAACGCGTTGGTGATAATGCTGAAAGAAGGTGGAGTCTTGAGTAACTTAGTTGGTGATAATGCTGAAAGAAGGTGGAGTCTTGAGTAACTTAGTTGGTGATAATGCTGAAAGAAGGTGGAGTCTTGGGTAACTTAGTTGGTGATAATGCTGAAAGAAGGTGGAGTCTTGGGTAACCTAGTTGGTGATAATGCTGAAAGAAGGTGGAGTCTTGAGTAACTTAGTTGGTGATAATGCTGAAAGAAGGTGGAGTCTTGAGTAACTTAGTTGGTGATAATGCTGAAAGAAGGTGGAGTCTTGAGTAACTTAGTTGGTGATAATGCTGAAATAAGGTGGAGTCTTGGGTAACCTAGTTGGTGATAATGCTGAAATAAGGTGGAGTCTTGGGTAACTTAGTTGGTGATAATGCTGGAATAAGGTGGAGTCTTGGGTAACCTAGTTGGTGATAATGCTGAAATAAGGTGGAGTCTTGAGTAACTTAGTTGGTGATAATGCTGAAATAAGGTGGAGTCTTGAGTAACTTAGTTGGTGATAATGCTGAAATAAGGTGGAGTCTTGGGTAATCTAGTTGGTGATAATGCTGAAATAAGGTGGAGTCTTGAGTAACTTAGTTGGTGATAATGTTGGAATAAGGTGGAGTCTTGGGTAACCTAGTTGGTGATAATGCTGAAATAAGGTGGAGTCTTGAGTAACTTAGTTGGTGATAATGCTGAAATAAGGTGGAGTCTTGGGTAATCTAGTTGGTGATAATGCTGAAATAAGGTGGAGTCTTGAGTAACTTAGTTGGTGATAATGCTGAAATAAGGTGGAGTCTTGGGTAATCTAGTTGGTGATAATGCTGAAATAAGGTGGAGTCTTGAGTAACTTAGTTGGTGATAATGCTGAAATAAGGTGGAGTCTTGGGTAACCTAGTTGGTGATAATGCTGAAATAAGGTGGAGTCTTGAGTAACTTAGTTGGTGATAATGCTGAAATAAGGTGGAGTCTTGGGTAATCTAGTTGGTGATAATGCTGAAATAAGGTGGAGTCTTGAGTAACTTAGTTGGTGATAATGTTGGAATAAGGTGGAGTCTTGGGTACCTTTTAGTTTCTCTCCATTGTGAGTGGCCACCGAGGACCTGTATCCAGGCACTCGGCGAGGCTGGCTTGCCAAGATCACCATCCTCGCATGGGCAGTGTTCTGGTGAACTAATCGGCCAGTGGCTTTTGGTTCTCTGTGAACAGTGGAGAGAATGACTCTCATCCCAGATGTGTAGTGGTTTGGTCATCGGCACGGAAGTACAAATGCAAAGCTGTCAACCCAAACGGTTTACTCGTTTTCTTGTACAGGGAAATTGAGTTTTCAGGTCCATACAGCGTACAGCCGTTTCAATGCAGGCAACATTTTGAATAAGGGCACGGGGTGACCAATCGAGTCTGAATTGGCCTGGAATAGGATAGGCGCTGATAAGGGGTTGACAGGTATGCAAATGCCACGAGATAATATAGGTCTGGGAAGCCAAAAGGCTGGTGGACCAAAATGTACTTTTATTTAAACGTGGAGACAGAATGAAGTTCTGTCAATATATACCGGCATCTATAATTATCCTCCAAAACAAGGCACAATGAGTTACACAAATGTTAACGTGTGCTTTATGCAACAGTCCACATTTTCTGTTGCCTGGACTCCTTCTGTTGGCATGTGTAGGACACGTCTTGTGTTGGGTAACTACAGTAAATGCTTTAAAATCCCACGCACTCTTAGCCCACATTCATCGTGAGTTTCATAACGCAATTGTGTGTGCATGGAAATGAGGCTCTACAACTCCAGCGTAACTTTCATCGTAATCTGCTTGCCAATATTGCAGTGCTCTTGAATTTGGGCCACGTTTCAGCATCGGTCATGGTGACATTTAACTTTAAGGCCGATTGATATGTCGTCACTGTATTGAACTGTTTCTAGTATAATGCAGGATTTAATTTTACAAAAAAAAACTTGTGTAGTGATGTAACACACCCAAGCATTCCTACGGCAGGTGATGAGTGTACGATGTGGTACCTGCAGCCAAGTCACTGTTGTTTCTTAAAATGCTTTTTATTTGTCTCAATTATTATGCATTCAACTCTTCTCGCCTTCCCCCACCATTGCAAATGAAGACATTAAGCTGCACCTGCAGGTGCCACTCCTTGAAAGACATGATTGTAAATGGAGACATTTGTACTGTGGACAGATTCTAACGGTTGGTATTCACAGTTCTTTGTTCAGTGTTGCTCGAACGTAGAACTGCGGGCTTAGCCTTGTGGGCTTCGGCATACAACTTCATGGAAGCCTCGCGTCCGTCATGAACGTGGCGCGGTGTTTAAAAAAATCAAATGAACGGCCCCGTAACGTCAAACCACAGTCATTCAATTGGCTCTTCCATTGCAAATTCTCACCGCTTCATCAAGCCCACGCGAATATTTTGGGTGATACCATTTATAGATATTCCACTAAAAATAAAGTGAGAAATCATGAAGGAACAACTCTTTAATTTCCAAGTCTCGACAGTGTATTCCACCAATAACAACACAATTATCGGTTGTTTTCACCCCCCCCCCCCACCTCCTCTGTAAAAGTCACTGCTCTCCCAGCATTCAGTCGCTTGTCGAGAGGAGAGTTGTGATGCTCGTTCTACGTCAGTGGGGTACCTGTACGTCGAGCACCCTGGACATTGCTACTTTGTACTTCACCACAATGGCCTCTCCATGATGACCCTGGGATTATTTACTCTGGAGTGGAACAATACCATGAACTGTTGATGAAAAACAAGCTGTCTAGCTTCCATCGGTGTTTCAAGATTCTTTAAGCGTCCTGTATTTTGAATAAATGTGTAGACATGAGTTACTGTATCAGACGGTTAATGACACTGAACATTTGATATTATAATTAAATAATAGCCATTGATTAAACTAATAACCCTTGCATGCTTTTTTATGTTCTAAAGATGAAGCCATTTCTTAAGATAAAACGAAAATGAAAAAAACCACTACGATATTTGAAGGGTTATAGTGTAAAGGTTTGGAAATGTCGCGTGATAACATGGTGACTGTGTTTTAAAAGAACGAAGTTTCAGTGGCTTGTTTTTATATAAAGAAGGGGTAAGAATAAAGCATAAGGTATAAAGAATGAGAAAAGAAATATGTATTTGCCATGTCCAAGTCTTCTGATGTCCCCTGTTTTAAAGACCAAGTGAAAAATAGCATTCATCGTTTGTAAATATAAAACCAGTGCAGGCGTGAAAATCCTGTTTGCTGACGTCTTCTCCGGCACTGATCTTTTCATTTGCGGTAATTGTGAGAGCTTCTGTACGTGGGTACGTGTGTGTGTGTGTGATTGTGTGAGATGTAGGTACATGTGTGTGTGTGTGTATGATGTAGGTACATGTGTGTGTGATGTAGGTACATGTGTGTGTGTGTATGATGTAGGTACATGTGTGTGTGTGATTGTGAGAGCTTCTGTATGTGGGTACGTGTGTGTGTGATTGTGTGAGATGTAGGTACATGTGTGTGATGTAGGTACGTGTGTGTGTGATGTAAGTACATGTGTGTGTGTATGATGTAGGTACATGTGTGTATGATGTAGGTACACGTGTGTGTGATGTAGGTACACGTGTGTGTGATGTAGGTACATGTGTGTGTGTGATGTAGGTACATGTGTGTGTATGATGTAGGTACACGTGTGTGTGTATGATGTAGGTACATGTGTGTGTGTGTGACATAGGTACATGTGTGTGTATGTATGAATTTGGTGCATAAACCTGCACATACCAAATGGGAATGGGCAAGATATTCATGCCACCAACTCATCTTCAGACTAATATCCGATTCTGTTATCGTTTTTGTCCATCTCTGTTTGCAGTATTTAATTCCTTCCCTTTACGATTTCACCACAGCTCATGCCACCACCCTTGCATTGTTATACACCTTGCTGTTTTCATTCATGGGTTTTAAATGTGATAAATTAATTGTAAAGCGAAATCAAAGTGCAAAAAAATTACAAATATTTTCATTTTAGCACGTAACCTGGTTAAATAAACACATTGTGTGCTGCTATGGTTACGTTTCCTGTAGGATTCACCGTTGTGCAACAGTATTTCATTGCGACCATTAGAAAGCAGTATAAATATACTGATCACACCACACCGCAGTAAAACGTGTTTATACCACACAGCAGCATCGGGGAGACCACTCGCAATGCCACTTAAAGCCAGCATTGATGACGTACACGTGCATTCCGCACCTCCCATTGCCACGGTTGGCTACGTACGGTGCTAAAGAAGTTCACCCTACAGACATGCTGATGAGAGTGTGGGCCTTTAAAACTGGCACCGCTGCGTTGCTGAGTTCGTATCCAGGCAAGCGACTCATTTGACCGGGTTCTCAAGTGGAGTGAGTGGATCGTGTCAACCCGGTCACCAATGACTGCACACACACAAAACGATTCGATTTGGGTTTTTTTCAATATGGGAACATTCTTGTTCTTGGTATACATGTCAGTTACATTGCAAAAATGCAGTTCCCTCGTGGTAGCTATTACTAACATAAACCTCTTGATACAAACACTCTGAATAAAAAAAACATATTGGAATTCAGCATCGACTGCATAACACAAAGCAAAGGTGCAGTCCTGCATGTCCTTGCTCAGGTCACTGCCGACAGATGGGCCTGCACCACAAGGAGCTGTAGAGGACACGTTGCCTTCTCTTCCACGCTGATCAGACGTCTCGCAATGAGGTGACGGACACCCACGCTGTTACAACTCGTTCTACAAACATCATCATGGCTGCTGGGCGGACATGGGGTGGGTGAGTTCGCGACAACCGGGAGAAGACCCCTGGGGCCGGACCAGGGCTGCTGCTGCTGTATAGTGTGTAGTGTATAGTGTAGTGTATAGTGTAGTGTATAGTGTAGTGTATAGTGTATACTGCTGCTGTATAGTGTATAGTGTAGTGTAGAGTATAGTGTAGTGTATAGTGTAGTGTATAATGTATAGTGTAGTGTATAGTGTAGTGTATAGTGTAGTGTATAGTGTAGTGTATAGTGTATAGTGTAGTGTATAGTGTATAGTGTAGTGTATAGTGTAGTGTATAGTGTAGTGTAGTGTATAGTGTAGTGTATAGTGTAGTGTATAGTGTAGTGTATAGTGTAGTGTAGTGTATAGTGTAGTGTATAGTGTAGTGTATAGTGTATAGTGTAGTGTATAGTGTAGTGTATAGTGTAGTGTATAGTGTATAGTGTAGTGTATAGTGTAGTGTATAGTGTAGTGTATAGTGTAGTGTAGTGTATAGTGTAGTGTATAGTGTAGTGTATAGTGTAGTGTATAGTGTAGTGTATATTGTATAGTGTAGTGTAGTGTATAGTGTAGTGTATAGTGTAGTGTATAGTGTATAGTGTAGTGTATAGTGTAGTGTATAGTATAGTGTAGTGTATAGTGTAGTGTATAGTGTAGTGTATAGTGTAGTGTAGAGTATAGTGTAGTGTATAGTGTAGTGTGTAGTATAGTGTAGTGTATAGTGTAGTGTGTAGTGTATAGTGTAGTGTAGTGTATAGTAGTGTATACTGCTGCTGTATAGTGTAGTGTAGAGTATAGTGTAGTGTATAGTGTGTAGTGTAGTGTAGAGTATAGTGTGTAGTGTAGTGTATAGTGTAGTGTATAGTAGTGTATACTGCTGCTGTATAGTGTAGTGTATAGTATAGTGTATAGTGTAGTGTATAGTGTATAGTAGTGTATACTGCTGCTGTATAGTGTAGTGTATAGTGTATAGTATAGTGTATAGTGTAGTGTATAGTGTATAGTAGTGTATACTGCTGCTGTATAGTGTATAGTGTAATGTATAGTGTAGTGTATAGTGTAGTGTATAGTGTAGTGTATAGTGTATAGTAGTGTATGCTGCTGCTGTATAGTGTAGTGTAGAGTATAGTGTAGTGTATAGTGTAGTGTATAGTGTAGTGTATAGTGTAGTGTATAGTGTAGTGTATAGTGTAGTGTAGAGTATAGTATAGTGTATAGTGTATAGTATAGTGTATAGTGTAGTGTATAGTAGTGTATACTGCTGCTGCTGTATAGTGTATAGTGTAGTGTAGAGTATAGTGTAGTGTATAGTGTAGTGTATAGTGTATAGTAGTGTATACTGCTGCTGTATAGTGTATAGTGTAGTGTAGAGTATAGTGTAGTGTATAGTGTATAGTATAGTGTATAGTAGTGTATGCTGCTGCTGTATAGTGTATAGTGTAGTGTATAGTATAGTGTATAATAGTGTATACTGCTGCTGTATAGTGTATAGTGTAGTGTATAGTAGTGTATACTGCTGCTGCTGTATAGTGTGTAGTGTAGTGTATAGTGTAGTGTATAGTGTATAGTAGTGTATACTGCTGCTGTATAGTGTAGTGTATAGTGTAGTGTATAGTGTATAGTAGTGTATACTGCTGCTGTATAGTGTATAGTGTAGTGTATAGTGTAGTGTATAGTGTATAGTAGTGTATACTGCTGCTGTATAGTGTATAGTGTAGTGTATAGTGTAGTGTATACTGCTGCTGCTGTATAGTGTAGAGTATAGTGTATAGTGTAGTGTATAGTATATTGTATAGTGTATAGTATAGTGTATAGTGTAGTGTATAGTATAGTGTATAGTATAGTGTATAGTATAGTGTATAGTGTAGTGTATAGTATAGTGTATAATGTAGTAGTGAGTGAGTCTGCCACCACGACCCTCACCAGGACAAGCGGACTGAGACACGCACGAACCTTCCACTCTAAAATATCGCTCGTGACGGCTGAGTGCTCGACAGCCATTAGCGCCTTGGGTACATCATGCTCCTTGACCCATCCTGGCACACACCTCGACGAAAACACACAAAATAGTTTTGCGAAAACAAGCAACCTCCTCCTCCTCCTCGAGAGAGAGAGAGAGGTGCTGCTTTGCAACACAGCCCCGGCAACACATTATAGCCGCCAAAGTTGATTTAACCCCCTGCCGCTGTTGATGACATTGCAAACACGAAGCCCTCGCAGCGAGACTCGCTATGTTCATAAGGCGGTCGTCGGTCGGTCGTGCGTTCTCAAATCTGCTCCCTTCCCTTGTGCTGCTGCTGCTGCCACGGTCTTTAGTGCCGGTTGCTAAACAAAAACAAAGGGGGTCAGTGAAGGGTCGAGGGACGCCTCGAGTTGGAGCCTTGGCTGACTCTGGGAGTGTAGCAGCAGTAGGAGAATTGAGTCTTGCATCAAAACGTTTAGGATCTTCACTTTTAAAGATTGTTTTAACACGGCCAAATTCGATGAACGCGTCTTCGTGCCATCGACGTGAAGTCGCCAGATGGCAACGTGGGGCCGCTTTTGACAGGCGAAGGAGGCACGTGGTGCCACTGACGGCCTCTCGAATCCAAAACAAAAACACATTCGGCTCATCTGGCTTCTTTGTTGTGATTTTTGTTTTTCCTTTCTCAGATGAATTCCAACATCGGCAGCGCGCATCCCTCTCTGGCCCTCTCGTCTCATTCTCTCTCCCCTGTTGTGCAGAGCGGCAGAGAGAGAGAGAGCAGCAAACATCCAAAATCTGCGCCCTCCGCCGCCTCCAGCAACCACAGACGGCCCGCACAGCGAGTAGACTCATCCAGCAGTGGAGTGACAACAGCGCTCCCCGCACCGTGTGCGCGTTTGCTCTCGTCGTGTTTCCTGTCGGTGTGATTCCTACGTTTCTCACCTCGTGCGCATTTGCCCTGCGTATGCACACGGCATATGCGAGTGTGGTTTTTTTGTATGCATATCGAGTTGCAATCATTCCTTGGTTATATTTTTGGTGGACCAAAAATAAATATTTTCACGTCTCTAAGTTGTAAACTTTACGGCGGCGCAGTGATGCGGACACCGCGATGTAAACCCCGTGACCTCAGTTTAGTTCCTCGTCACGGGCAGCATCAGTGGAAAGTTCTGGGGTCACCAACCCACCACACGACTGACCAGTTTAGTGAAGTATGGTCTCGCGACCTCCGTGACCGACACGCTGTCGGGAGGTTTTCATCCAGCAGTAGACCGACGAGGGCTTTAAATTATTACTTTAAATGTAACAGTCACTATAAACACTGCTGCTATTTGTTGCCTGAGAAAACAACCCGAGCATTCAGCCAGCAAGCTTTCAAGGTCAATATTGTACATGGCCAGTGACGAAGCACGATCGACTTTGGCTGGCTTTGTACTTTCTCAGAGCTTGTCAACAAGCCATAGCAGAGTTCACATTCGTTTAACCTTGATTTATTTTTGCTCATCACATGCTCTTTCAATTTGTCTGGTATTGCCGCTACTTAGAGAGCACGCCCTCCTGACAAAAATTATATCATCTTTATAGGTCTCGCAGTCTTATTTATTTACATATTAATACTATTCGACTTTTCCCGTAAGTTCCCACTTGCCCATTCTTGTAACCTCTGCCAACTCCAATTAATCGCATTATTTGCCCGAATGCCAAACGGACACGTCAACATTATAGTAATTACCCACCCCGCGTGTTCCCCCCAAGACCCCCCTCCCCACATCGTTGCAGCAAGCCCCATGTACATCTACGGTTTAAATGTGAGCGACGTGCCGTGGTATGCATCTCGGCAGTTTACTTAAGACAGCGGTCTGGCATCCTCATGTAAGTCCCTTCGTGCGTCACTCTCAAGACGGCCACGCAGCCACACCAGCAGGGTACAGCAGCAGCAACAACAACAACATCAGGACACGTGGCGGCAACGAGACAACCTTGGACACCTCCTCACTGCCACCCCGGCTGTCGCAAGCCGCCACTCAGTGGCACAACTCGGTTCTAATTGTCATCGTTTTGTTTTGCTTTTTCCTCTTAGATTGCTCCTTTTGGGTGGAATCTCATCAGGCATAATTATCCCGTGTTAAGGGAACAGCTTCTGGACGTTTGACATGACGAACCGCTTCTCTGGGTCCCATTGATGGCTTCTTATCTCGCCTCTAATGCCCGAGTGTTGAGTTGTACATGACTCGGCAGTCAAACCAAATGGTGATATGGCTGTGAGAGATCAAATATGTTGAATTTAGTAATTAGGAAAAAAACTCGAATTTAATACGGATAGAATTGTTAATACAAATGTGAGGCTGCATACCCAAGTAAAAAAGAAAAAAAGAAAAATTAAGTTAGAATTATTGAGAATTTATTAAAATATGATTAACACAGTCGATGCGATTTTTTAAAATTTGTATTTGCGAATGAGCTTGAAAAAATACTTTATGACTCAGATATGATATACAATCCAGTTTAAGTTCTTAAAAAATACATCAATGAATGTCAGTAATGTTTGACGATATGTGTGGCTCAGAATTACTGTAGTTATCTGCATTGCAAACAATTATGTGAAAACAGGGTTATATACTTACATATACAGTTTATAAAAGCACGTGACGATATGAACTTTACAGGGAAAAAACAAACTCGCTGACATTAGGCGAATCCTTTTTATACAAATACAATCATTTTTGTTTGAAAAGTTTAGTAAATAGTATGGATAAATTATTATTTCTCTACAACACTGCCACCATCCACAGGAGTCTTCACATTGATGGCATATGACTGCCGCCACATTTCCAATACCTCTTCGAGCAAAACACGTGTCGGTACGAAATGGAAACTATAATTTAATTTTAAGCATTTTACTCTATTGCATAAAGTTATCGTCATGTAAATATGTTTGAACAACAATGGGGCAAACAATACACATGGTTAACATGTCCATACTTGTCAACCCCTTATCAGACCGTATTGGTCACCCCGTGCCCCTTATACATCTCAACGTTCATCCTACAAAGTCCCATCACAAGAGAGAAACACAAACAGACAGACATTTTTTGTGCCCGTATTAAAACGGCTGTACGCCGTATGGACCTGAAAACTCAATTTTCCTGTACAAGAAACCGGGTACACCGTATGGGGTCGACAGCCGTGGCTGGCCGCATGAGTGATGGCACTGGGGCCACTTACCTGGCCAAGCCAGAGTGTGAAACTTAAACGCGCTCACGTGACAGGCCGTTGAATGAAGCCAAAGCGTCCACCGGTGCACAGTTTTTCAATCTTGCAAATGCCGGAGTTATTGTTGGAAAGTCCGCTGTGTGTTTCGCAATCTAGCCGACGGCTGCCGAAACTCGAGTGATCGGTGTTTTCAATCTTGCATGGAACTATTCACCCACCCAGCGAATCCAGTGGCCAAAATTGTACAAACGATACCAAAAGTAAAAATACGATGGTAAAAATGAAGACAACCATTTTCGATTATTAAATCAAATCATGATCCCGGATTGTGGCAATTCGTCGAATCTCTGTGGTGTGAATCATCGCATGCCGATAATTTAGTTTTATTTTGTACATTGCTTTCACAAAAAACAAATGTCCCAAGGCACTGTACAATAAAAAACAGAATAACCTTACAAACAACCGTCCTTACAAAGAACTGTATAGACCGTTGCTGGGAACACCTAGAGCATTGCTGGCACCCGACGAAGGTTGAATTCATGTAACTCTGACCGCAGATGATTATTGTGGCAACTCTTTGAGGATTGAACACATTTCCAAGAATATTCTTAGCACTGCTCGACTGTCATTAAATCTTTAAACATCCAATAAATAAGACATCTACATTGAACCTTCTGTATCCATGTCGAATGGGGTTAAGTGGAGGATATTTCAAAATACATCGGAGGTCTTCAATCGAGACGCACTGAAAGCTGCCAATGTACTTAGAATACGTCCAGATTAAGCCCCAGGATAGCCACCAAACAAAGACGGTGGTCACCGCATCGCGCGCCTTTCAGATGCGGTGCTCTTGCGGCCGTCTGGAACGCTCTTCGTTCCGATATTAGGAAGACACTGGAGCTTTGCACTTTTAAATCTAGAGTGAAAACTCATTTCTTTAGAACTGCGTTTTGTGTTTAGTTTGTTGTCCTTACAATGCAACTCCGATTAGCACGGTTGGCTGCGTACGGTGCGAAAATAATTTCAACGTACGCAACATTGAATTTGGCTCGCAGCCACATGAGACGCACCTCTTTACAATGGCCTGCAAATGACATCCATCACTGCAATAACTTTGGGCGCAGTAATCGGGTACTAGAGGGGAATATGTTTTATCTGGCAACAACATTGCTTCTCATTTAAATCGCGCGGTCACGTCTGAGGTGTGTGTTCATGTGTGGCCCACGAAAGGTATTTGAAGGTCCTGTTTGGCACTTAACAAAAAGAAAATCTCTGCCCGAGAGCCAATGCCCGAGGCGAGCAAGATATTTGTTCTCGAGAGAAGATGGAGATGATCAAGAGGCGTCGCGTGCTCAGGTTGAATTGTGAGGCCGACCTGCAACGGGCAGCTGAGCGACCAGATTACACACTCTCTCAGCAGTGACGCAGACCGTTGGGTCCAGGTGACTGTCGAGGGGCGAGAGAGCCCCCATTGTTCAAGTGACTCTCACACTCCACGTGACGCCCTTTGATGCCCCCTGCTCGAAGTCTTGACCCTCGTGGGTTTCCTGTAAGTGCAGCTCGTGGAAGCCTCTTAAACATACCTGGATGAGTACAAGGCCCTCTGAGCTCAGTTATTCGCGCAGTAGTGTTGGGCGGTAAATTTTGATGATGATGATGACGAATATCTAGCCTGCTCTCTTAAGCAGCGGTGCGTTGGTTCTGGCTGCTGCTTCACTGGTGGCAGATGTCCCACCTGTTTATAAACGTTGTCATAACGCTCTAAATTGCAGTGAATGGTTGAATAATTCGCAGCCCTATGTCAATCCAGTGCTGGACTAAGGTCGCCTCATGCTGTATCGGTCACGAAGGTTGTTTGTCTTCACCTCACTGGCCAATGTGTGAAAGGGGAAACCTGGGATCAGTTCCAATATCTTCCACTACTGATGTCAGCTGTGGCCAGGAATCAAACTCGGGTAGCCGAACCCACGGCAAAGCGTGCCAACCCCTGTGCCACCATCTCAACCCAACATTTCTCAATAGTAACATAATTGATTGACACTTTGTATAAGTTGCCCGTCAGGACGTTGATCTGGTCGTGCACTTTTGGAAATGGTCAAAGCAAGCCCATGGGTTCACATGTTAGGCTCCATGTATTTTTTTGAGCTTTGTTACACAACAAATTACTTGGATACGGTTCGAGTACATGGGAATTATTTTTGGAGTAGACATCACAAATCTGGTGGGGAAACTTTCACAAGTGGGTTTGGCCCATCGTTGTTCCGCCCTATCCCCCAACCTCGGATTAGCACGGCTGCCTACGTACGGTGCGAAATAAGTTCAACATACATACATCCCTCTCTCTGGAGTCCCACACAATGTCCCGGTTGGGTGACGTTTGAAGTCAATGCGGAGCAGACGGAAAATAAAGCCACTTCCATTTTGCCCGATTCGATTCTCTTGACGGCCACCGAGAGGCCAAGCGCCAAGAGCTCTGAAAAACCTTCAGAATCAGAACATTTATACCAAAGGAATCCGATGAGCTATAAAGCTCTTTTCACAGATGTGCAGGAGGTAACCGTCACCTAGCAGCGGGTCCAGGACGGTGCATATCACCGTATGGGCTCACAGTCGGGGTCAGGCAGTGCTCACGAGACCCTGGCCGAGAGCTACCGATGGACCAGAGCCACCAGGGAGAGTTGGCATTGTGGGCATCAGGGGTGTAAACAATTCCATCCTGTCCCCCGTTTCCCCGCCCCTAGCCCCCACCATGATCTGATGAATTGTCACGATTTGAGAACGCAATTCTCTTGATCTGTCATGTTTGTTCTGTTTCATTCGTGTCATTGGCCTCAATCTTAACTCAACCTATCATTTGCAATCAAATGCAAATTTCACGAGTTGTGAATGTTTCTATGCCGTGCAACATAAGCGCAGGGATAGATTTTAATTGATGGATCTTGTCATCATGATGCAAGTGCTGGTTTCACAGCGTGAAGAGCGGTGTCCTGGTAGTTATTGGGATGACCAACAAGTCGAGGCAGCCATGCTTTGGCCTTCCCGCCCACGCTCACAACGAAAATTCATAACTCAGCCTAAGCAAGTTGAACCACCCTAAAAAAGTGCCTCTTGAGCGTTGTGTCGAGATCATCTGTGGGGAGACTGTGGCCGATTTTGATCTCTCCACCCCCTCACGCCCTGTGCTGGATTTTGCAGATTCCTATTTATCCCTGCAGTTAGATCAGACTAAAAGAAAATATTTGTTTATACGTACGTGCGTGTGTGTTTTAACAAGATGACAAAGCGACTCTCGGTCTGTTGACAGATACCCGAGACCCGGTCGCAGACCCTCCACAATGTTGCAGGCTCACCGCCCTGACACGCGCGGCGTTGTCCGCGACGCCACCGATCGCTCGCGTGCGACGAGCGCATCGACAGCCTCGACCACGCACCCCCGATGCCAACCCCCGCACCCTTCCTACTTGCGCTCAGACACGGACGACCGCGCACGATCGCTGCCACCGTGCAAAACGACCCGGACGACGCTCCTTCCTTCCCACGCTGGCACCGCGATTCACGGCCGATGATGTCGCGCAAAGTAGGGAGGGGTGGGGGGGGGCACCGATCGGTGAATCCCACGCACCAGCGCACGCCACGGACGTGACGTTCGCGGCGACGGGGATTTCGTTTGGAGCCCGGGGTGGCAGGGAGACGGCGCCGGCGGCCGTCACTCGTAGTAAACGCCGAAGATGGTCGCGACGCAGAAGCGCGCCCCGCGGCGGTAGTGGTGGGAGGCGAAGGCGTCGGCGGCCGGGTCCCAGAGGCAGCGGCTCGCCACCACCACCTGCTCGCGCTCCCAGCTGCCCAGCGTCACGCTCACGATCAGCTTGTAGCGCGTGGGGGTCTGCTCCTTGGCGCGAGCTGTGCGGGGGGAGGGGGAGACGCGGCGTGCAGAGGGGGAGCTCCGATTGGAACGCTTGGACGCCTCGGCGTGGCGAGAGCGCATCTCGTCTCGACCATTCACAATGCCCTGCTGCAGTTCAACCAAGGGTACCCCCGGTGGCAGCTGCCCCTGTATGTTGACTCGAGCAAGGGCCAGACAAGTTTAACCCGGCGACAAGATCCTGAATGTCACAAATGCTTTTGAGGGTGGCAATGGGGCTTCCTTCGAGAAACTGGGACTGTTTTTGGTCCAACCGGGATATCTGGCAGCGTTAATTGTTGGAGTTAATTTGTGTGAATGCCACATCTACACCGTAACGTGGCAACGGTGTCCCCCTTTGATCCACCGAACCAGTTGGATGCAAAAGTGAAAGGTGTGTCACGAGCGCTTGCCACAAATGAGCAACAACGCCTTGCTGATCTTGTCACGGAGCGTAAACCATCACGCGAACTCCGGTTACCGTCGCAGCGGCTTTTGGATAGCCATTAAACAAGGACGGTAACTACATTGCGCGCTTTCAGATGCACTTCTGTGGCCGTCTGGAACGCTCTTCCTTCCGATATTCAGAAGCCACTGGAGCTGTGAACTTTAAAATCATCTAGAACTGAATCTTGATTTGAAGCTTTCGTGACTGCAGGAATCCATACTCTTTGGTTCCTTCGGTATAGTCACGTAGGTAGAAATAAAATGAAACAAATCACGACGACCGCTTGTGTTGCGATCGAAACGTCGTGAATTTGTTTCATTTTATTTCTAACTTCATGGACTTTACCAAAAGAACCAAAGAGTAATCTAGAACTGCTTTTCGTGTTCAGTCTGTTGTCCCTAGCCCCGCACCTCCGACGAGCACTGTTGGTTACGTACGGTGCCAAAGAAGTTCAACACACACACACACACGGTACATACAGCACATAACACGCAACGCTCGCCATCGGCCGTGGGCGCTGTACCTTTGATCTCCTCGCTGAGCAGCGGCGCGAGGCGAGCGCAGGCGGCCGCGTCGAGGGCCTCTCCCCCCCCCAGGTGCCGAGTCAGCGTCTCCTCCAGCAGGCGCTCCAGGCGCTCCACGGGAAAGCTCTCGTGGCCGGCCCCAGCCGAGCCACCCTGGACAAAAGAGACGGGAGGTTATGATTTGACTTGCTTATTATCACGCTTGCTTACCCCGGGAAAACCTCACTCGGTCTCAAGGCTCTTTGCGGGAGCGTCCTGCCAAGTTTTCAGTAGCAGGAGGCGATGCTGCTGCTGCTGCTACGTATAATCCCTATTTGAGTAGTGTGCAGGTACATGTTCAGAATTGGGATGTTTGGCCACCACCAGTGACCTTGTACAGGCAGACCTCGCTGAGCGTGAACCCCGTACAATGCTGATTCAATTATGGCGCTCTTTGGCCCGGGGAATTTTTTTACAACAAAAAAATTAACTCTGAATATCTAAATGGTGCTTACGAGTGAGCGATGGTCCGGGAGGACGTAGCCGGCCCATCGTTCGCTCAGCCAATGGGAGCGACGCACACCGAGGCAACTGAACCCCACCCCCGAAATTCGATTAGCGCGACTCACGGTGGGTATATGTGTGTTTGTGGAACTTCTTTCGCACCGTATATAGGCAATCGTGCTAATCGGAGGTGCGAGAATGGGAATGATTACACACGCAAAAGCAAGAAAATAGATTTCCCCCCCAATGTTATTAGAATCGTACGTTTAGCCAGGTGAGAACTCACGAGACCAGGACAAAGTCTAAGGGTTGACCTAAAAGAAACTTCACGACAGATTTTGACTGAGGGCATCGCTCAGACCCGGATTGGGTTTTCGTGATGCCATGCTGAACAGTGCACAGGACTGGTTCTGATATCACTCCACACCGATGTTCGTAGCCATGGCCTCAAATAAATTTCAAGTCTCCAGGTTCACAGCGCAGGTGCGCAAGCTCCTTCAAGTCAATATGCTTCAATTACAGAGAGCCCGCAGAGAGAACACAATTCCCAATCTGCAATCGGTGGTTTCGTGAAAAGCGTTGAAACAATAACAGTGCACGCGCCACTCGAGTGAGAGGATCTCGGCTCCACTTACACCTTACGCTGCGCGTAATTACCCTTGCCGAGTATTTAATGCGCTAAGCTCACGGGGTTCTTCACGTCTGTGGTTATGCCCTTGAACACATCAACAAGCGAAGTGTCTCATGCAGAGAAGAATGTCTGTTGTTGTTCCTGGGTTTTTTTTTAATACATACATTATTGCAAAGTATATTGGTCTATAATGTCCATTTGTACGTAAATTAATATTTTGATAATGTTCAACAGTAGGACTAGGGTGCATGTGGACTTTCAACCACCAAACCCTCACGATCTTCCAGTACATGGGAAATTACATTGACCGCATTATTCATTGTAAAACTTCCAACTCTGAATGTCCTAACATTCACATGAAAGTTGGTCCGATCCGCGGCCAGGGCTGAGCCCAATCTGGGCCACCCTTCACCTCGCACCAGGGCCCATGCCGTCCCCACTGCCACCCTGCCCCTCCGTGCCTCCTCGCGGAGTTTACCTCTGCCCCATGGTCGCCCGTGCCCGCTCGCCCCTCCATCTGCTTCCTCTCTGCGATCCTCTGCGCCGTCTTCGCCTGCCGGGGGGACCCAGAGGTGCAGGGTGAGTGCCGACTGAACCCTCGCCGGGGGAATTACCCCGCGAGTTGTAGATTCATTGCAAGAGCTTTGTTTCGATTTAAAGCTTTTGTGACTGCAGGGATTCATCTTCTTGGTTCTTTCGGTAAAGTCACGTAGAATGGAAATAATAAAATAATAAAAATAAAACATAATAAAATAATTCTCACGACGTTTCGGCCACAATGCAAGCAGCCGTCCTCAGGTGGAGGCCGAAACGTCGTGAGAATTATTTTATTATGTTTTATTTTTATTATTTTATTATTTCCATTCTACGTGACTTTACCGAAAGAACCAAGAAGAAGAGCTTAGTTGTTCCGCTTCATTTCTTGAAAAGCAAACGTTGCACGACGATGAGCAACGCACCAAGAATCCACGAGAGAAAAATCCCCATTTGCGAAATGCGAGAGTGTTTATTGACCGTGGCGTCACTTGTCCTGCACGGCAGCGTTCGAGAGCGATTGCGAATGCCCACTCCAGACATCTGTTTACGGGCGGGTGAAATATATTATTCAAATCCTTAACTGATATTTATTTATTGCAAGATCTTTCACATCATCTGCGTTGAGATCATCGAACGATGTTTGTACTTCATTCAGCTTTTAATGAAAGGACCGAAGGCCAGACGATGCGCAGCTCGCGGTGCGCACGGCGGCAGGGGCGAGACGGCTGAGGGAGTGCGCGCGTGTGTGTAAAGAGTTGGGACGACACGCCATACACGTCGATTAATCGGCTACAATTATCATCGACTTCTTTCATGGGAAAATAATGCGAGCGGGCCGTGCTGCTCACGGACGCGAGACCAAGTCCAGCACGACATTTTGTAATTTCATTTTGACAGACGCACGCACACACGCACGGACGTATCCACGTACATGGCCCGTGTGTTTAAAATCCGCGAGCACCTTGAGGTTCCTGGTGAAGCGGCGTGCGGTGATGAGGCCGCGCAGGCTGAAAGGCGCCACGGAGCCGCGAGGGAGCACGGCGTGGCCGGGGATCGCGGCGGTGGCGGCGGCGGTGGAGGCGGCGTGGCCAGGAGGGGATTCGCGCTGCGCGGCCGGCATCGGTGCCTTCCTGCGGTTGCCCGGCACGGCTACGGGCGACGCCTGCGCGGAGAGGGGGGCGGCAGGTGTTGCTTCGCGCGCTGGGGGGCGGGCGGGCGAGCGAGCGAGCGCCGTGCGTAATCTGCAAGCGGAGTCTCAACAACGGTGTCTCGAGTGAAGTAGTTGTTCGACCGTGGCAGCGAAATATGGATGAATCTACGCGTTCGACGTTGTTTATGGCACCCGCTCTCCCGGTCCGTCGCTGCGTTAAAGGCGACGACGTCGCGGATCGGCAGAATGTGCGGAGTTGAGTCAGAAGGATCTTGTCCTGAAGATCCCCGACGTAGTTTCAAATGACACGTCACAAATACAATTGCTGCTAAATTTGTCTGTGAGAACTGTACCTCGACACCACGTGACAAGTGCATTTATTTTGCCACGTTGGGTGGTGGAGGGTCTGAACGACACAAATTTGACCAGATCATGACGCGGACCAAATCAACGGTGAATGGCGAGTGACGACGACGTCTACCTGGGCAGGCTTGGGCGAGCCATGCTCCCTGGCCTTGTGGTTGTTGGTGGGGACTGGACTGGGGTGCACTGCAGGAGCCGTCCCCCTCGGGGGAAGAGGAACCGGGCTCCCAGCGTCCTTCACCATGAGAACACACGCACCGCTCCCCGCCGCCTGCATGCACCACGCACACAAACAACAAAGATCCCCCGTTTAGCCTGAACAGACTGTAGGGGCAAGTGCTGATAGCGAGCAACCTACGAAGGCCGGCACGGCACACGAGGGGGTGGGGGGCCAGCACCAAGCCCCACCGCCTTTGTCTCCCCAGTGGCGATGTTTACGCTCCAGGTTCAGACAATCGTCACCTGTGTTAGCCGTGAGCGGGAATCGAACTCGGGTCGCCGGGTTCGTAGCGCGGTGGGCTAACCGCTTCACCACCACTCCCCATGAACACGCACACACACGCACACACGAGCTAACGACCAAACATCCGTGTTGCAAAATGTGCATGCATAATGTACGTTGACTACCCTATGAATAACCTAACCGGCAATGGATACGCATTGTGATTTAGATGTAATTATTAATCCCCCTCCACTTCGCCCGTGCTGGGTTCACAAGTGATGTCATCAGAATCTACCCCTTCTATTTAAGGAACGAAACAGGAGGACTTCTCCACAATTCTGGCTGTCGCCTGATGAAGCTAGTTGTAATTACTGACGAAACGTCGTATTTAGATTGTGAATGCTGTGGCTTAGTTCTCCAACACACCGGTGTGCTGTACTAGTGACGAATTGGCCACGTTCTGTTTACGTGACAAATCTTACTAGTTGACTGTGTCGGGTGGTGGCGGGTTTAACGACACATTCATATTTACACGATCTAACCCAACCCCCCCCCCCTCTATTATCCGCGTTTATCTCGGCAATTCTACTCGTGGTACCCTTTCGTGTTACCCTTATGTGTTACCCATCACGTGTTACCCCTACGGCTAGCTTGAACGTGGATAAGAGGATGAATGCGCTGCTACTCATGGATGATCTCCCTAATCTGTAGATTGGTAAGGGGTAACAGAAGGCGTCAACTCGGAGCTGAGCAGACAACAGGAAGAGCCGTACGAGGACTGCGCAGGCTGATGGCTTCAGGATAATGTTGCGAATCAGACAAAAACAATTACTTGGGAAAATACAGGGCACTGTGATGTAGTCTAATTAACGCTGCAGTGATTGTACCACGTGGGGTTTGGGGGGAGCTGAACATCGGCCTCTTTCTGCAAATGTCCAACCACTCCGATGCGGCTTGCCAGCTGTGTGCTGTCGCCCCCATCGCAGCGACGATGAGAATAAGAAGAAGAAAAAATTAACCCGTAAAAACAAAGTTTTTCACTATAAATCCTTTATATGCGTGGCGGCTCGAGTCCTCTCGTCCTCTGGCTTGAGATGGCTGCCACCTATGAGTCAAATGATTGTCTGCCACAATTAAGCAATTGGTAATTAAATATTTATTTATGTTTCCCTAAACAGTGTAAAATTGTGGAAAAAAATTTTCACGAAAATTAATTGTCACGCACAACGAGTCTGTGTGCAAAATGTCAGCTCGATTGGATCACGGGAAGTGGGTTAAAAAACGACCGAAAGATTTGCACGGTCCTAAGCAAGCAAGCAAGCACGCAAGCACACAAGCAAGCAAGCAAGTGAACTTAATATAAAGGATTTAAAAAGCCCACAACAGCTTCAAGAACATTCATTCGGAACGGAGCCATTCACCTCTTACCCCCCCCCATTCCATTCCAATTCCGTCGAGAATCGCAACCCCAGGGAAAGCTTCTAGGAAGTTGGTGCCATTGACTCCAATGTCAATGACCCCACGGTGTGGAGAGCTAAACGCGCCGCTCTGGGTTTCCTAAGCAACGAGATTATTCGACGGTCTGAGCCGAGTGTTTACACCCTTTCACCGCCACATAAAGCTGCCGACTCCAAGTCAAAACGTTGCTTTTGTTGAGAACGCGTGGGGCTCGTGGAATGAAGGAAGCCGGCGTGGCCTCTCACCCACCGCTCCCAGTCACGACCCTGACGCCCAGTCAGGACACTTGCCGCTTTCCCAACACGTACGTTGTCGACTTTGGAATTCCGAATTCTTAAAATGCGGAAGACTCACTCCTCTATTCCAATATCTGCCGAAATGTCTGTCCCACTGATGCAGTTCACGAAGGATGATTATTATGGATAGCCGAGTAAAGTGCTCAGACCACTTGGCCCTGCTGAAGCTGGTGAGCCGGCTTAGATTTTCTGTGGCTGTTAACGTCAGTGGCTGAGTGAAATTGAACCAGTCTTGGGCCACCCTCGCCTTGACCAAGCCGCACCGACGACCAGCGTGGTGAAGTATGGTCGACCGACTCCCCATCCGTGTCACGGCGTGGTGAGGACTTCATCCGTCAGTAGGTTTACAAAGGGCTGTAAATTATAATGATTGTTACTACCGTGTTTGCGTTGTGTACAAAGAAGCATGGATTTACATTTGCGAACATTTTACAAAATACTGTGAAACTATTTAATATCTCCACTGAGAAAGCTAAATAATTAAAACCACTAAGCCATATAGCCCGTGCTATTTTGACGAGGTTTATGATCTCACAACGATGTCTGCGTCGCCAATGCAACGAATACCCAATTTGAATACGCAGACAATATATATTACAAACTCTATGTGTGTACACTGCACGGGTGTGCTTTGTTGCCCACACGTTCCGTGAAAGTGGCAGCTTGTGTCTATACTCTGTGCGTCGAGTGCGACACACATCTGTGCGGTGGGCACACAAAGACAAAGATCCCCCGTGTAGCGGAGGTAGAATGTCGGGGCAAGTGCTGTTAGTGAGCACCTATGAAGGCCGGAACGGCAAACGAGGGGGTTAGTGGCCAGCACCACGCCCGGCCGCCTTTGTCTCTCCAGTGGCGATGTTATTACACATAGCACCAGGTACTCAATTGAGGCTGAGTTGACCTAGGGGAAATCTAGGACCGGTTCATAAAATCGTTACTGGTGTTGGTCGGGAGCCGGAGTCGAACTCGGGTCGCCGGGTTCATAGCGAGGCACGCTAACCGCTACACCACTGCTCCCCGATGGGCACACACACTCTCACACTCTCACTCACACTCACTCACTCACACATTCACTCACTCACACACACTCTCACTCACACTCTCACTTACACACTCACTCACACACTCTCACTCACACACTCTCACACACTCACTCACACACAGACTCAGTCACACACTCACTCGCACATTCTCACATACACACTCTCACACACACTCTCACTCACACACACTCTCACACACTCACTCACACACAGACTCAGTCACACACTCACTCACACATTCTCACATACACACTCTCACACACACTCTCACTCACACACACTCTCACACACTCACTCACACACAGACTCAGTCACACACTCACTCACACATTCTCACATCACTCACACACACACTCTCACACACACTCTCACTCACACACACTCTCACACACTCACTCACACACAGACTCAGTCACACACTCACACACACATTCTCACATCACTTACACACACTCACACACTCTCACACACTCACTCACACACTCACTCACATTCTCACATCACTCACACTCACTCACACACTCACTCACACACTCACACACACATTCTCAAATCACTTACACACACTCACACACTGCTCACACTCCCCGTGTTTGCCAGCTCGTTACGTGGCAACCCGCAAACTGGCGTCTCGTCGCAAGTTATCGATTTTATCTTTTGTAAACTAAACCAGCGACGGGCAATGCCTGCGGCTGCTTGGTCTGCCCCTCACACGGGCAACGTCTGAAATGGAAAACAAAAATCCACGGTGCGTGTCTGTGCCGTGTGTGTCTGGGTTCACATCCAGTTGACAAGAGAGTTAGAGACACCTATGTTGGAGCCAAAAGAGATATTCTGGCTCACAAAGACATGTTTGTAAATCTGAATCTTTGCTTCCTATATGCGACGCTTAGCCAACGCGGGAGAGAGATGTGTGGGAGTTTTAGAGAGTTAGAGGGGGCATCATATGTTTGCCGAGAGGAATCCAGGAGAGGATCTGCCTGCAGAATAGACGGAAATTGCAGGGCCCAACAGAGATGCGGCTGCTCAAGGAGTATTGCACAGTTTTGCCCAAAGTAGCCGAACACATCAGAGATCGGTGGCTTGAGGTGGCACGGCGATTCGAGCGCTGCACCGCGCACCCCGTCACCTGGATTCATTCAATTCCCGGCCACGGCTAACATCGGTGGCGAGTGATATCTGAACGGGTTCCGCAAGCCCGTGCATCCCACCTCCCTTACGTACTGACAGCACAACTAAATATTCTGATTCTGAGTGTCATCGGGAATCGCCCGCACCCCCCCGCTCCCCGTGCCAGTGGATTTGAAAAAAGTGTTGTAGATTATAACGGTGTGTTTATCTGCTCTCTCCCCTCGTCCTCATGATGAATGTATCTGTCATTGTGTTGACTCGCAAACCTGGTTACACAAATAAACTAAAACTAACTGTGTGGTAACTGGACAGCATCTATAATGCTTTATTGTTTTGACTCTTGACTGCATGTACCCCACGCGCGTTTTCCATTCATTGTGAAAACTACCTAATACAAGGAATGCTTTCACTTTGTCCATATTCTTTCACGGTAAAATGTGCAGCAGCGTTAGTCTGCATTGAAATTTGCGGGGCAGTTCAGCTTCGGTTGGACGTACATGTGACACTAATGGGTCTGTTAACGGAAATCCCTGAAACTCGGTTTCACATTGGTATTTATTTTACCAATTCGCACTTGCTGTTCAAACAGCAATTACAGCCGTGCAATATAAACGCGGCATACAGATTAACAACACTTCGAGAGAATGTTATTTAGTTAAATAAAATGTCAGTCCAAGATAATGTTTTTCACGAGTGCGTGTCAATAAATAAATGTGCCAAGAGGAATCTGTTGATGTTTATTTTATAGAATAATTTCATCGTATCTCATTAAAACTTGATTAAAATGCAATCAATTCGGATTCTCTGAAGGTAGTGACTTTGTATGACAATTTGCCCCCTTTGTAGATTATTACCTGGGAGAGCTACGCCGCTTACATTTGAGAGTGAGCGTTATTTGTAAAGTACAGTGTTGTGTTTAATCACCAGGTAAGAGCCAGTTGAGACCACAAGTCTGTGTTCCAGTCGCAACCGTACACAAACACAAGAGCAGACAGAGGGGAAGGTGTAGATGTAACAGCAAAAGCGAACGAAATGAAAACTTCAAGTGAAAAAAATATCCTATACTCAAAAAATATTATTAAAGTCCGTGATTAAATTGTGCGATGTACGAGTTCAATTGCATTCAGCGTCTCTGGGTAGCCTGGCGCGTTTTAGTCGTATCGAGGTTGGTCGATGAATTCCCACGGATGTTTGTGATAATTTCTCTTCATCATTTCCAAAGTGCAACATACGCCTGGAGAGTGCACGTTAAAGACCGTGCACCGCTAAGGTCGTTCAGGTAGGTCAAGTGTCATAGCTCAAAATACACTTCTAAAATGACCAAATGTAGTCAAATACAAATAACCGCGTGTACCCCACAGTTCCATATCTCCCGTGCGAAATAGAAAACTGGCCCTTACTTGGTTAAAGGACACGAGATGTCATATTTCACGTGGATCTTGACTTAAAGCTTTCGTGACTGCAGGAATTCATATTCTTGGGTCTTTCGGTAAAGTCACGTAGATAGGTTCAAAGAAAATAACAAAAAATAAGGAAAATTACGACATTTCGAAAATAACAAAAAATTACGTTTCGATCAAAACGTCGTAGTTTTTGTTGTTATTTCTTTGAACCTATCGACGTGACTTTACCGCAAGACCCAAGAACATTTCACGTGGATGTTTGCTCTAAACCTTTATCATTCAATCAATAGTCTTAACACTGCAATGAAATAATTCAGTAAAATATATAACTAATGAGGATATAAAAAATATTCCCTGTTTGTCATTAATAATAATTAAAAAATCATTTATAATAAATGACATTTCGTAACGGTCAGCAATGGCGTCGCATGCTTTGACGCAACGCGGTCATCAGACGCAATCTTAAAATGCATTTATCAACAGGAGACGAAAGACGTGTACATGTTTATTATTATTCCTATTAAATATCGCAAATTACTTATTCAAAGAACATCATCTACTTGAGTAAATGTGTGAATTGGAACCCCGGTATAAGTCGAAAAGGACAGTTTAATGAATAATTATATATTACAGACTAGTTCACAACATTATTAAATGCTTATCCTGGACACAGTGAACATGTGCTGGATTAAAATATGAAGCTTAATAATGAAGAATGTTACAACAGGAGATTCCTTGCCCAAGCTGTAAGAACCCCACACTTAATCCCATCACTTGTCAGGAGGTAGCATTCACCTTACCTGTCGCACAAACAGCTCTGCACTCAACTAGCGGGTTAAAACAATAACAACGGTAAGTTTGCGACAAATTAAAAACAACGTAGCATCTTCTTATTCTTCTTCCAAAGACCAGTTACCGTTTAAATGAAACACTCTCTCTCTCTCTAGCAGGTTGGCTGAGTATGTGGCGCGTTTTCACAATCACAGCATCCCAGCACCGCCCTCTCTTGATATATATAGGCACGCACACACACACCTAGCACGTGACACTCTCCACGGAGGGCACACACACACACCCACCCCCCACTGCAGAGAGTAAATGTTGAAGTCGCCACCACAGAGAACAACACTCAACTTGACTTCAGGGAATCTCAGAACGGCCGGGCGACGACATCAGGTATCATGCGTGGCCCTAACAGGAATAGGATTAGCACGGTTAGCTGCGTGCCGTGCGAAATAAATTCAACACATAGGTACAGCAGCGAAGGTCAAGATGTCATCATGGTCAATGCCGCTGATGCCCCCACATGTTGCCAAGGCGTCTTTCTTGCTCTGACATACCATAGACCATCCAGGTCTGCTCTTACAGTCTCCCACCATATGGATCCTGGTCTTACAACGCAGTTACCCATCACAGAAGTCGCACCCAACGGCCTTGTGCCTGAGTGCATCCTGCAATGCTTCTATTGTGAGCTGCGTACCCTGTACTTCCATGAACTGACCAGCATCCTCCATATGCTTAATTCGGTTCCGATCAGTTTCCCGAAAGAATTTCTCAAGCACGTGGCGCGAAACGTCGGACGTGCCGAATCACGCACGGTACGGCGGCAAGACGCATCGGAGAGCTGCGTCTTCCCGAGGGCCTAGGCAGCAACACTCGGTAGGCGATCTGCTTGCCACATCGTCCGGGATGGAGACAGCGGTTGGATTTTTGCCAGACGCGTGATGGAGACCCGTAAACATTTGGCCACTTAAACATTCTGCCCAGGGATAGTTGTAGGTCGGATCAACCTCACTCGCTCACGCCCCACGGGTCGTGAGTGGTGGCGACTCCACACGTTTGGAGCCGCAGTTGAGAACCCCTTTGCGTGAACAGTTCTTGCTGCAAGTACGTATCACTTGGCGGTAGCGGATCGATGTTGATTCATAATTCAATCGCCGATGATCAACATCACCTTGGGGTCGTGCACGATATCATCAGATCGTCAGATGTGGGCGGTGACGTGGCCCTGCCGAGTAACACGTGCGCCGTTTGTTGCAGACGATCGCGGTTCTAATACAGCAGGCCGCCCTGGTTATTACTGCAAGTGTATTAACTGTAAAATACGCGCCGTCTGCTTCACGGTACGTATGTATGTTGAACTTCTTTGCCACCGTACGTAGCCGACTGTGCTAATCGGAGGTGCTGGAGAAGAAGAACCAACAGTGGACGTAAAATATTCCCCGAAGTCATTCGAAATTAATATGCCATTGTGCTGGCATGATGGTAAAACATTGGCTACATTCGAAATATTACATTCAAATTACTCGGTTGGAATGACACATAGCAACCATCACCCACGACTAGGAATACTGTGCACCGTGTCTGTGAAGCAGAGCGCGTCCACGATAGCCTTGCATTATAAGAATGATGCGACTTACCAAACGTACTAATATTATTGTTACAAGATGAAGAGGCTTGAGGCCGGTTCGTGTTTGGATGCGAGGCGGCCTGGGAGTGCCACGGTGTTGCCGGCTTGGGCAGCAAGGTGGCCACGAAATGGCAGCACGGCCATGAATTCTTAAATATTCACTAAAAGTGCTGTTGCCAAACTCCCCACACGCCATACACCACAAGTTGTCCTATGTCATATTACTAAACCTTGCCTTGTACAATTATATTGACAAGGCAGTCCGCTTAGTTGCGGTAACTTAATGTTTGCGCAAAAAACTCAACACATTTGTCAACACTGCCCTAAAGTAAACACTTTGAGTAGTCGTGTGTGTGCTGGGCGCCACCGTCATCACACACAATCACAGGCATGAGTCGCAGGAGGCTTTCGCCACCAATATTATCCACACTAGAGCAGGCGTGTTTGGGTGAGATCGTGTAAATATAAATGCGTCGTTAAAACCCGCCACCACCCGACACAGCCAATTAGTGAGGTTTGTCACGTAAACAGAATGTGGCCAATTTGTCACTGCAACAAGGCACGACAACATTTACTATTCGAGTACTCTGACGTTTCGCCGGCAATTGCAAACATCACATATGAGAGAAGATCGCAGTAGGTCACCCGGTTAGCCGCACACACAAACCCCCGGGGTTCAAGTCGCCCCCTCGCACTTTTTCTGTCCTCATTTGAAGTAACAAGTTTCGACGAGAAAGAAAACTCCATGGCGATGCGGTGCTTTTGAAGAAAATCAATAAAACGACAACAACACAAACATCCCTCTTGCGACAGCCACTCGTGGAGCTCACGGCTCGTGACGGAGCGGGCAGGGCTCTCTCTCCATTGTCCGCGTGTCGATGTTTTTCTCACACACGGCACGCAAACACTGCGGCTTTATTTTATTAATTTCTCCTACCAAAACAAAGTTTTTCCACTTCACACGGACTACTCCTTTTGTTTTATTCCGTGACGTTGCCACCTGCCGGGCGATGTTTATTTTTTGTTGAAGACGCTACAGCGGTGACTAAACAACAACACAAAAACTTCGAATTATGACTAACCGTACCGACATTGAGTTTAAGACTTCGTTAATGTTCATTCATTTGATGTCATTTTTATTTCAAATATACAATATTGTAGCTAATCAGCCTCTGGGCTTAATAGACAAAGCGGCGCTGGGTAGGTCAGTGATTCTTAACCTTCACTGCAGCCTTATCAGCAATCATCATCAGGTGTTGCAATCGAAACGTCGCTTGCTATTATTTATTTTATTTTTCTTTCTACGTGACTTTACCGAAAAAATCAAAGAGTAAATACATAAGAGTTTGATGAAACAAACTAGTTGTGTACTTACGTGCCGTGCTTAATTTGTGTTTTGGTGATTTACCTTCTAAATAAAAACCTGGCCACGTCTCGCACCCCCAGAAAGGGCATCTCGCTGCACCCACAGTGGGTGCAGCGTGCCACCCCGGGTCAAGAACCACTGGCCTAGAGGTTATTCGCGGCTGTGCTGCACAACTCTCCTGTCTGGTTTCGAATCGAACCCACGAGTAGTTCGGCGCGATGTCCAACGTTTTGCGTGTCTCACAGACAAGTGATTTTGTTGTTTTCCCAGCAGTATTACCCGAAGCGGGCCAAGCTTTTGATTCGTCTCGGTCTCATCCCAAGAGGCCTATTGATCGATGAAACGCAGTTGCAGGGCGAACCTCTGGGAATCCCACCAGGGTGGCGGGGTATCGGTCTCAAGTGCATCTTTACCCCCATCCCCTCCCCTCTATTTTCCGCCCTTGTGCAACCACTGATGTCACCAGCCCCGAACATCACCACTGACTGTAAACTAATGGACAGAAATCTGAATTTGTCTAATTATAATTATCACGCGCTGAGACAGCGCGTGCCCCACCGCGGGCCTACAGGATAAAGAAGGCGATGGCAGCGGCGAACATGAGCACGCACGCCAGCACGCAGATGGTGATGAAGAGCACGCCACTCGTGTCGTCCGACCTCACGCCGTCGAGCGTGGGGGCGGCCGGGGGCGCTGGGGGTCCGCGGGGAGCCGCCGTCTGGGGCTGCTCCACGGGGGCGCGGAGCCGAGCGAGGCAGCGTACGGGAAGCCACTGCTCCTGCTCGGAGCCCGCCAGGCTCAGGGTCACTCTCACCACGTTGCTGTGCTGCACGGCTTGCTGGGCGCCCAGTTTGTCCGCCGCCACGGAGGGGTGCTGCGAAGGGAAGTCGGTGGTGGCGAGAACGAAAGCGGAGGGGGAATGTTACAAGTAGTAAATGGCGTTCTCATAATCCAAATGATAAAATTAATAGCAAAGGTTTTTGGGGTAGAGTATAAATGTGTTGGTATTACCTTTGAATCTCTACACATTTTGAGGAATGCTAGTGAAGACATAAATTTACACGCTTGATGCGGAGTTTCTACAATTTTATAGTAGGCTTTCGCGACCAATATTATTCATAATAAGGGTTTTTGGGTAAGGTGCAGAGATTCAAAGGTAATACCGAAACATTTATACTTATGCGATCTAACCCAAAAACCTTTATTATGAGTAATATTGGTCGCGAAAGCCTACATGTTAAACCAAATAATAAAAGTGGATCTGATAATAAAATGCTTGTTTCTCAAGGTGGCTTCTTCTGGGATGATGTTAAGATCTTGGCTTCATGCACCCAAGGCCTCGGATAATAATGATCGTTCTCACGGCAAGCCTATGAAGCATTCACTCATCCATTGTTCTTTGTCGAATATAGAGATGGTATCATTAAAGGGAGCCTAGAACAATGGAATACACTTCAAGTGGATGAGCAATAGAATGCATTCTTACACAAAAGCAAATATAATTTAACACAAATATTCAGACGGTACATCAATGTATTTAAATCGTGAAATAATTGTGGGTTTATTTACACTTCACTAAACTATACAAATAATTGCGTATGAGTTTGTGATGTCTTTTTAGTTTCCAAAGAAGCTCCCAGCACGCGGCGCGAAACGTCGGACACGGCGCCGAACAACACCATGCGAGCACGAATGCAAGCGAACGCGAGAGTGGCGAGGAGAGGAATCTGGATGAAGCCCTACGAGCCATCACAGCTGACACCTTGCTCCTCCATCCCACCGTTGACTTCTCAACAACAACAACAAACAACAACATAGTGATAGGTTTTTACCCTTTCAACTGGTACAAAAACTGACACCTTTATACAAGGCATCATGTTTGCAATAACCACAACACAAGCAGTCAAAACGCAAACAAAAAGAAACAACTCTGATGATGATAATGATATGCACTGCCCTTGAAGTTGATTGGTCCACACCAGAGACGGCTTTTCTTAGAGCCTAGTCTCCACTGGTGTTGGACCAGATGCCACCAAAAGGCGTACAACTCAAAGACAGCGCACTATCAGAGTATTGAGAGCTCGGGGTGAGCATTTACACTCTGAGCAAACAGCAACGACAGACGACGAGAGGCGACGACGAGCGAGGCAAGTCACGAATTCCACGCGGGGGGGAGGCCACGCGGCCCGGGCGCCACGACCTGCACCGTCGTGCGGCAGTCGCTGTAGTTGGCGTCGATCGTGAGCGTGGCGCCCGAGGGAGCGGACGAGCAGGCGGGGTCCCTGAGGCGGGCGGACAGGAGGCGGACCCCGGCCGGCAGCTCCGTGGGCAGCGTCGCCGTGAAGCCGCTCTCGCCGCAGGCCACCGTCATGGGCAGCACTGGCAAAGGCAAAGATCCCCCCCCCCCCGTGTAGCCTCAACAAACGTTTGGGGCAAGTGCCGTGAGCGAGTGGCACCTATGAAGGCCGGTATGGCATACGAGGGGGGTGGGTGGGTGGCCAGCACCACGCCCGGCCGCCTTTGTCTCCCCATGCTGCCGTTTACACAATACGTCAGATACTCATTTGAGGCTGAGTCGACCTAGGGGAAGCTCAGACCACACGCGGCTACCTATCTCGTGGACGCCAGTGTCGCGGTCCACATTTTTCAGAGTTGGGGAATTTTTGCTTAAATATCAACAACAATAACTTTTGCTGCGTGTCTGTTGCTTTGCTCCGTCTCCTTTGAGAAGGGGGCATTTGCAGTAAAAAAAATCCTCTTCCAGAAAACGCTCAAAGTGCACATCCAGCGGTCGCTCTCACCAGCCGTGTAGGAGAGTGAAAACCCTCGCAGGGCCTCGGAGGAGTCTGTGTGCATCGTGACGAGCAGCTTGCTGGAGGTCGACGTCGTCGCCGGTGGCATCCTCGAGCCGCAGAAGCGTCCGAGAGACGAGTTCTCGTTCTCCGTCTCACCGTCGAACAGCGCCACCTGGTCATAGCTGACTCCAGGCGAACATTCAACCAACAGCGCCACCTGGTCACAGCTGACTCCAGACGAACATTCAACCAACAGCGCCACCTGGTCACAGCTGACTCCAGACGAACATTCAACCAACAGGCCACCTGGTCACAGCTGACTCCAGACGAACATTCAACCAACAGCGCCACCTGGTCACAGCTGACTCCAGACGAACATTCAACCAACAGCGCCACCTGGTCACAGCTGACTCCAGACGAACATTCAACCAACAGGCCACCTGGTCACAGCTGACTCCAGACGAACATTCAACCAACAGCGCCATCTGGTCACAGCTGACTCCAGACGAACACTTTTCGATTTAAAGCTTTCGTGACTGCAGGGATTCATCTTCTTGGTTCTTTCGGTAAAGTCACGTAGAATGGAAATAATAAAGTAATAAAAAGAAAGCATATTTGATCATGTTTTATTTTTATTATTTTATTATTTACATTCTAAAAATAGAACATATTTTATTATGTTTTATGTTTATTATTTTATTATTTCCATTCTATGTCACTTCACCGAAAGAACCAAGAAGATGAATCCAGACGAATATTCAACTACAGCCAGTCCACCGCATAGGGCTGCCACCTCGACTCAGAATAGCAGAAGAGGGGAGAACTGCATGAACCTCCGATGAGCACGGTTGTCTACGTACGGTGCGAAAGAAGTTCAACATACGTACATGCAACGCGTTGTCTTGAGTGGCGTAATATTGGGCGATAATAAAAGGCACGTGCGACTTTAGTGACCATCGAAAGACGCGCGGCAGGACATATTTTCAGATTCACGCGTGCCACATTCGAAATCGATCTGCCACAATTAATTATTTTGGAGCAAATACTGTTTAGTTGGATTTGTTTACAAGGCAAAGTTGGGTGAGGTTGTTGGGTCCCTGATTAGCAAAGGAGGCTTCAACAACGGGGCGGTCAATATCGCATCTGGCCAGGAGGTGGCTGTGTCGAGTCGCGACCTGCTGGTTGCTGGTGGTGCTGGTGGTGGGTTGGGTGCCCGCACCACAGCCACGTCTGCTCGTGCGTGCCGTACCACTGATGCCCACTGACGGGGCTTGGCGGTCTAGACTTGTGCAGGCAAGGGACATCATACTTGTGTTCCCTAAGTTAATTCCACACAGGTTCCAACAAACAAACGAAACCTTCTGCTAGCCAAATGCGTGGCGGGTGAGTTTGAACGCAGGTGTTCAATGGTAACTTCACGCATTGAGAGTTTGCAGTGAGCGGTGTGCGTGTGTGCCGCGTTGAACCGGACTGGCTTAGAATATAAAGCGACTGAGTTAACCGAGTTCGTTTAATTAACACTGGAAGCGTCTGTAACCATGCCTCACGTATCTTTGTGTTGGTCTTCACAGTGGGTTGGGTGTACTGTGCTGGGATACGTTGTGCAGTATTTAAGAATGTATATCTCGAGCGATCCAAAGGGACGTGCAGATTATAGGGGGACGTTCTGCGAATTTACAGTTCTGATCGACTTTATTAGTTTAAAGCTCAAGTGAAATGGGGAATGGATACATGTGAACGTTCAATTGGGAAATGTCACAGCTGTCAACCCCATACGCTTTACTCCGTGTCCCTGTACAGGGAAATTGAGTTTGAAGGTCCATACGGCGTACAGCCGTTGTTCAATACGGGCAAAACATGTTTTGTGTAGTTGTGTTTCTCCCTTGTAATGGGACTTTGTAGGATGAACGTTGAGCTTTATCAGGGGCACGGGGTGACCAATAAGGTCTGGATTGGTCTGTAATAAGGTAGGGCACTGATTAGGGGTTGACAGGGATGAATTGTTAATACTCGAGTTTCTAGGTATGCACATCAGCCAAACGGATGATGGAGCCGTGGTGTTGTCTCGCTCAGTAATATATCTACACTGTGCAGTATTGTTGCGTGTCACAGATGCTCAAAATACATGTTGCCATCATCTCTGCGTTTCGAGTGTGCACCACACGTTCGTGATTTCTGTTCTAACGTGCCGGTGGAATAGGTCTGCCAGGTGGCGGTTGTGTTCAAGGATCTTGCTGATGGCATCTAAAACAATTGGGCACTTGCCCACAGCAATGCTTACTTTCTCATGACCTGTTATGCATTGTTGTTGTTGTTCTTATTGTTTATACAGACAGGTAGCTGCGATTAAACAGAGTTCTCCAGTGTAGAGAGTTGATGGTTCCAGCCATGCCACCAATGACTGCATAAAAAGTAAACCCACATCGTGATAAACTGGGTTGTGCACTTCGTTTTGACTCAATCGTGTGCACCAGAGGTCACCTGAAGGGGTCGCGGAGGTAACTCTGTGCAACCCACTTCCACGGGCAGTTCTCTAACACGAATGGTTGCACTGCACTGCGACAGTTCATTGATAAATTAAAGAAAAACACCTATCACTCAGACCTGGGTTTTGGGCCACATGTTGCGATCTTCTGTTCCAAAACTACGGACACTGTGGTCGCGTTGATCCTAAATGATTAGTTAACTTGTGGAGAGTGTTCTGCTTTTTAAACTATTTGAAGCATTTAGTTCAGGGAAGTAGAATGCAGTACCACTTTCAGCTATTGTGATAGCATTTTAGTAAACATTCAAGTTCATTCCTCAAAGTGCTTGCTTGGAAGAAAAAAAAAACCCCACAATGAGCTGGGAATGTGCTCGTAAAACCACGATAAAAATAAACAAAATCCACCCGACCACTCGCGACACAGAGAGGTGTTGACGCGCGATTAACCCGTACGTGACTTCAGGAGAAAACCCCACAAGTCCTGCCGGGGCCTTACCCACCCACAGTGGCCCCGCTCGTCGCTCTCCTCGAGCTGGAAGTCGCGGAAGGAGAGGCGGAGGCGGAGGGGCGGCGGCACGGCCAGCAGCCAGCGGCAGCTCGCCCCGCCGGGGTAGGGGCCCGGGTAGCGCGGACTGCGCACGGCGCCCTGCAGCGCCGTCAGCGTGCGCTGGCACTCGTCTGCACGCGGCCGCGTCACGGGAGTTAGTGCGTAAGACGACGATTTTTTGTTTATACGAGAAAAAGTCTCCCCCCGAAGTCTCGCGTCTCTCTCTTTTGTCAGGAGGGTCCTGCCAGGTCTTCGCAGTTGGTGGCGGTGGTGGGGCGTGCTGTGTTTCTGACGTGTCTATTCCCAGATTGGTTACTTTGTGGGAAATGTTTTTTTTAGCTTTGGGACGTTTGGCCAATAGCGGTTACGTTGTGCTCCTTTATTTTATCTGCGGGAGGAAACTGGAGAACCTGGAGGAAGCACATGCGGACCAAGGGTCAGAACATTACAGACAGACTCCATACAAACTCTGCTCGAGCAATGTTCTTGGAAAGTTTCCGTTGCTTAGTCAGCTTGTAATTGTGCTCTGCCCCTGTGCGTGTTCGCCGACCTGTGTGGTACTCGGCCAAGAAGCCTCGAGCGCCGATGTTGTAGTCGGAGTGGAACACCACGAGCAGGCGACGCCCAGGAGGCGACACGAACGTCGGGAGATCCGTCCCGCTGAGGACGCCACAATATCGGCCGAGGAGCTCGGTGGGACGAGCAGTGGCAGCCTGCCAGAGGTCTCCTCCAAAAATACAACAAAAGGATTAACTTTGGATCTTTGATGCTCATTTTGACACGGATGATATTCCTTTGAAAATCATTCCCAAATGGATCAGTGAAGAGCCCATTCGGTTACTTCGTGTCCCAGAAGCTAGGCTGGATTGCATACAATTATTCTTTGGTTTGGGGAGCCCAACAGGTTTCAAGGGGAACTATTTGCACGAGTCGCAAGTGTGCTGTAGGCATCAAAACACGATGCCCACAGCACGGTTGTGAGATACAAATGGTAACACCCCCCCCGCCCCCCGAAAACCTTCACAAACATTGAAATATCGTTCGCTACCGTCACCGCCGGCTTCCTCGCCGCCTGCGTACACAGCCACGTAGTCGAAGCCACAGCCCTCGCCCCCCTCCAGCAGCAGGTCACGGAACGCGAGGGTGGTCGTGGCCGCGAAGGCTGCCTCCTCCGGGCGCGCGGCGCCGATCTCCGTCCAGTTCGTCGCGCCGGTGACGGATGCCGCCGAGTGGCCAAGCGCCCAGACGCAGTCGGCGCCGTTGGGGTAGTGGCTGGGGTATGCAGGGCTCGCGAAGCTCCCGGAAGGTCCCGACAGAGGCCCCCCGCAGTCCTCTAGAGGAGGAACAGGCTAGAAATGTCTTCAGCAATAAAAAGTAAACAAATACGAGATCTCAGCCACCCCCCGTTTGAAAAATGTTTGTACCACGTTAAATTGAATAAATTCCAGCACTGAGAATGAATTGCTGCCCATGCGGCAAACACTCCGCTCATATCCAGGCTGGTGGGAAAGTGCTGCCCTCTGCTCTGTGGCATTCAATGGCTCTCAGATGTAGCTCTACGGTGTCCGCTTTCTCGGGCCTTTCTACTGGACGAGAGGCGGGAATAGACACGTCGTCTCGTGCCATGATACCGATAGCGCAGTCATGAAGAAATTGATGGAATATTTAGGAAACTTGAGTTTTATCAACCACAATGTGCTTGAAGAAAGTTTTCAATCAGTGCATATTGTGAACTATGACCCAAGTCTTGAGATGATAACTGATCACTTCACAGGGTATTTAAAAACGTATATTTTACATATACTTTTGTAATCTGCCTACAACCAAATCAATATGAATGTGTGCAACCTCAGTCATATCTTGGAAACGTGGCAGAGTTTAGTCTGGGTAGCGCCAGGAGTACGGGGCGTGAAGTGATATCACCATTCCATAGGTTTTGCGCACACTAGCCTTCACCTTGGACCACAAACTCAAACGAGTTCATCAATTTGCTCACATTATCATCAAGGGCTTAATTGGCAGCGGGAACTTTCCAGGGCTGACTTCCTGAAAATATTTCTGGGACCCAACCTCCGCTGTCGGGTCCGATGAGGTCTGTGGAGCTCGGGGAAATATTCCTTGAGAACCGAATCTCTTGATCAGAGGTCACAACCGGCCTTAGTGCCACCACCGCTGAGCCCCACGCACCAGTGTCGAAGGCGATGAGGAATCCCGGACGCGACACGTGTTTGTCCGAGTGGAACTGCAGGCCCACGACGTGGCCGGACGAGATGAGAACGGCTGGCGGGATGACCCCCGGTGGCCGTGGCGCCTCCTCGCTGCCGTTGCGGCCGCGTTCCCCGCAGTAGCGGCCCCACAGCGCGCCCGCCGTGCCGGGCTGCCCGTCCCAGAGCGTGAGCGCGTCGTACGCGCACGCCGGGTGCGGCTCCAGCGAGAAGGCGGAGAACGCGAGCGTGAGGCGCGCTCCCGCCGGGGCCACCAGCAGCCAGAGGCAGTCGGCGAGCGCCGGGTACGGCGCAGGGTGGCGCGGGCTGCGCACGTGGCCCGAGCGTGACGACAGCACGCCGCCGCATTTCACTGCGCACCGTGGGGGGGGGGGGGGGGGCGGCACGGGAGAGATCGAGCGACGCCGCTGAGTTTTGTCGCGTTCCGACCGGAGCGCTCGTTCTGATCATCCCGTTGCGTGAAACAAGCAGAGCGGAAACTCGCCTCGTCTGCGGCGATGCGGGACGACGAACGTCACGGACACGGACGTCCGCCGGAATTTATTTTTGCTGTTTGCGAAATATCGGATGAATTTTCCGACGCGCTCCTCTTATCTACAAAACTCGCAAAGCGGGGATGGGGAAAAAAAACCCGTAGACGATTGTGGATAGTTGGAAGAATAGGGAGGCGGAAAATGGGAGTTTTCAAGGACCGTGGAGTCGCAGGTCAAAGGGTCGCGGAGATTGAGGACTCCGGCGGGATTGCCGTCTGTAACGATCGCGCAGCTTTTATCGAGGGCTGTCGTGACGACGAGTAACAAAGTTGCTCGTGGGTCCAGTGACTCGCAACCTTGTTCACGTTACTCTTCAACGGTGCTGTTGTGGCACCAGCAACGAGGGCTCTGGGTGGGTGGGGTCACGGTCGCAGTGGCACACCCGGTCCAGCATGGCCCAATTCAGGATGTTTCAAACCACCCACCACTCCTCGGCCTTACAACCCTTCCCTCTTCTGCACCGTGTGTCTGCGGGGACAGTGACCTCCTGTCTTCGCTGTCATGCTCTGATCATTCTTCTGGACCAAACTGTTTGCTTTTGACACCAGTGGTCGTCACGTTCGACTTCGTTGTTCTGAGCAGTGACTGTCTCTGCATCTTCTGAATCTACTAATCGTTCAACCGTATTCATCTATTAATAATGATCATGATGATGATGGCTTTTTACTTCCCTTCCTCATCCGCAGAATCCCCACAACGTGTCAACAGGCAAACCGCTACCCTCTAGTCCATTCACATCCATTCAAGTCTCCAACAAAGTGGTACGCCTCAAAGGATTCCTTATACCTGTCGTGTTTATTTTCACGTCTTATAAACGAAACAAGGCCCTGGCTTTGGCCACCTGCGGAGCGCCTTCCCACGGCGCTGCTGAAACCCTCGGCCACGTGCGCTGAGCTTGCAGTCAGCTGGACGTGGCCCCCGCACGGGATTCACAGACTCCCTCCTCCAGAGGACGCAGGATGCCGCTGAGGGTCTTCAGGCGTCTTCCCAATCCTCGCATCTCTCAACCTGCAAGCGTGCCACACGATGGCTTCTGATGCTCTCCCAAGCTCGTCCCTTTGATCTCTTTGATGATCTCTGACGCCCACCCTGTCTCCACCAATCCTCTCACTCGTGCACTCCACACCAGGAATCAGGCAGGCCTACACTCAATATCGACTCACTGGTGGTGAGAGCATTTTTGTGCTGCCCAGAACCCATTCCTCCTAGCTGCCCTCACCATTGACTCCATCCTCTCTTTGCAGTCTAAGCTTCCGTGCCTTCGTTTACAGAAAATACCCCGAGTGGCAATTTCCCTTGGATTGTTATATACAGGCAGTACGAGGTGTTTAATGGAACTGGACACTGACCCCGAATTTTTTCTCTCTCAGTACAGGCAGTCCCCGGCTTACGGAAGGGTAAGGTTCCCGGGAAATATCCGTAACCCGAATTTTTCGTATGTCGGAAACTAAACAATTTTCCCGTAAACGATCAAATCCCACAGCCGAAAATAGCTGTGCCTCCCCTACCGTTCTCTCTCAGTACCGCATCGCGCTGTCGTCCGTTCCATATCACTACCCGTGTCTTATCGCTGTACATACCATCTGCACTTGCTACGCATTCTTTCATTCGATCGAATATTTACCCTAACACAGAGCAACTCCATAGCACAGGGGTTTTTTGGGTTATATCGCGTTAACCCCCCCCCCAAAAAATCAGTATTATGAATGATATTAGTCGCGAAAGTCTTCGTTTTAAACTGACAGAGAAACTCCTCTCATCCACAGTTGCCTAAATCGCGCTGATGTACGATGATATGTTAGCCGAGTGACCTTAACTGCAGTTTCTATGTCACTGGACCACGTCACACGTGTCCGATAAGAGAGAGAGAGGGAGGGAGGGGAGGGACTGGAAACTGCATACACTATCTCTGATGTGGCTCCTATCGATTATAATCGATAAATTAATCATTTACGCAGCACTCACCTCGTCGCAGGCCGTGGCGGTGAGGTGAGCGGTGGGCTGGGCCTGGGGCCTCACGGAAACCTCACGCTGCGCTCACAATCAGCCATGAGAAGCCGGATGAGATTCAAAAAATAGATTTAAATAAATAAATATAGCCTCATCCCTCTCATAAACAAATATGTTCCAACGCAGCTGCGATTGAAGTGGCTTTAAAAACAGATCTGTTCCTCGTTTCTGTCGCTTTTTGAGCATCTGCAAATAACGGAAGAATCGCGAACTCAATGTCCCTGGCGGATAAGAGGATTGGTGGATGATAAGATGACGGATAAGAGGAGTTTCGCCTTGTATCTCTTTACCCCCCTCATTCTCAGCTGTCTGATTTCGACGGTAGTTGTCGAGAATCTGGAAGATCACTCGGTATGTCTACACTTCCTTCAACGAATTTATCACCCGTGGTGTTTTTTTTACTTTTATGGAGCATCTGGGCTATACTCTACTCCCAATGCACCATTCTAAAATTTGTATCCATTTTAAAATGGCACGGTAGGCACACCGTGCATTTAACACACACACACACGCAGCTTAGCCTGCGATGCAACCCGCTTCGGCAGGCTCCATGAATGTATTCGTCACCTTTTCCTGCCTTGCCAGGGTCGAGGCATTTTAGCAACAGAGCACAGCTTAAGAGCAGAACTCCTTTTGAATTCACGTCCCAGCTCATGGTCAGAAATGGTTTAAAAAATAAAAACACACGGACAAAAACACGAATAACTCAAAGCCACTTGATGCATCCCCCTGCGTTTCTGTCTGCAGTCTTTGCGAAATGAGCATTGCACAAGGAGCAGAAGCCTCTGGTTACCAGGTCCACGTGCCATCGTATGCATAATTCATCAGAAGTCACCAATTTCTATTCTTTCTCGAGAGGCTCGATTCCATCTCCTTTCTTGGTGTCAGGTTCATGTATCACGAGTCACATGTCTGCTGTATCAGTGCTGCTGCTGCGTGCAGGGTGGGAAGGAAACACTGAACCAGACTCGTGGAATTACTCTGTATTTTTTAAATTTTGTTACAAAAATATATCACATATTTTATAAATGTCACGCGTATATTTTTTTATTATGAATTATTATTACTATGGTTTGTTTACTCAAATGCCTCACTCATTCTCAATACTTTTTCAGGAAGATTTTTTTCCCATAAGGGGACAAATTCCGTTAATTCTCACGCAAATTTCACTCATTCTCACGCAAACTCCACTCATCCTCACGCAAATTCCACTCATTCTTACGCAAATTCCACTCATTCTCACGCAAATCCCACTCATTCTCATGCAAATTCCACTAATTCTCACGCAAATTCCACTAATTCTCACGCAAACTCCGCTCATTCTCACGCAAATTCCACTCATCCTCACGCAAATTCCACTCATTCTTACGCAAATTCTACTCATTCTCACGCAAATCCCACTCATTCTCATGCAAATTCCACTAATTCTCACGCAAATTCCACTAATTCTCACGCAAACTCCGCTCATTCTCACGCAAATTCCACTCATCCTCACGCAAATTCCACTCATTCTTACGCAAATTCCACTCATTCTCACGCAAATCCCACTCATTCTCATGCAAATTCCACTAATTCTCACGCAAATTCCACTAATTCTCACGCAAACTCCGCTCATTCTCACGCAAATTCCACTCATCCTCACGCAAATTCCACTCATTCTTACGCAAATTCCACTCATTCTCACGCAAATCCCACTCATTCTCATGCAAATTCCACTAATTCTCACGCAAATTCCACTCATTCTCACGCAAACTCCGCTCATTCTCACGCAAACTCCACTCACGCTCGCTTTTGGATAACCATCGAACAAAGACGGTCACTGTATCGCGCGCTTTCAGATGCGCTTTTGCGGCCGTCTGGAACGCTCTTCCGTCCGACATTAGGAAGCCACTGGAGTTATGCACTTTTAAATCATCTAGATTGACAAACTCATTTCTTTGCAGCTGCTTTTTGTGTTTAGTTTATTGTCCTGCCCCCGCACTTACGATTAGCACGGTTGGCTATGTACAGTGCGAAAGAAGTTCATCATACATACAGTATTGCTGTGTGTAATCATATTTAAGCAATTTGCAGTGTAATTTTTCAGCATTGGGGTGTTTTGGCCAATAGGAGTTCAATACTCTTTGGTTTTTTCGGTAAAGTCACGTAGGTAAAAAATAAAATAAACTAAATGAGAACAACTAAATTAAATCACGACGTTTCGGGCTCAACACAAGCGTCCTTCTCCAGGTGGAGACACCGCAGCGTGTCTGCCACACTTCAGCGGTGTGCTTTCGCTACGATGTCCCCACCTGAAGAAGGACGCTTGTGTTGCGCCCGAAACGTCGTGATTTAATTGAGTTGTTTTAATTTCGTTTATTTTATTTTTTACCTACGTGACTTTACCGAAAAAACCAAAGAGTATGAATCCTTGCAGTCACGAAAGCTTCAAATCTAGAATTGGGTTTTTTGTGATTGTTTTGCTACGGGAGGAAACTCGTGATCCCGCTAGAATCCCATGCTGAACAGGAGGAGAGAGATCGCACAAAACTCCACGGTGGAGAGGCGGCCCTCGTTTGGGATTCGAACCCAGGGCTCTCTTGCCGTGGGGCACGAGTGTCATCACCACCTCGCCACCCGTGCCAACGCCCTTGACGTTTCGCGTGTGCGCAGTGGCCCTCGAGGGGGAAACGCTCGCGTGCAACGAATGTAACCCTATCGGTGTAATCACGAATGATTGCTACGAGAGAAAAAAAAACATCAAAGAAGTTATTTATATCAGCTGCCACAAAGTTAAGATGTGCAACATGAAAAATTCGCACTTCGCATTGATGGTAGGGATATAGAGTTACAATGCAAGTGCTGAAACGTGATGTGCAGAGGTTCAATTTCCACAAGAAAGCGTTTTTTTTTGGAATTATTTTGGGCATCTTTCTTCTTCTGTTTTAACGAGGTCAGGTTTGAAAGGAGCGGCGAAGTGAAAGGCGCGGTGGTGTAAAGTATTTAAAGAGGGGGGTTGGATTAGAGGAGGATCGTGCTTGGATGACACCGAGAGACACGGGAGCACACGGATCAAGTGCCGAACACAAATCCGAGACGTCGCGATGACCGTAAAGAACAGCGCATCGCTAATGGGGGGGGGGGGGGTCGTGTCGATTGATGACACTGATGGTGCAACAACAGCCAACGCAGGGACTGTCCTCAAGGCGCCAGACGCTGAGCCCCGCCGAGACGCGACAGAGATCATCTCGCGTGCAGGAGGGAGACGCCTCGTGGTGTCGCAGGAGGAAGACGCCTCGTGGTGTCGCAGGAGGAAGACGCCTCGTGGTGTCGCAGGACAGCGAGCGGCGTTGTGCCGTGGGGCGCCTTCATCCAGCAGTGGATAGGAAATTGTTTAAATAAAAAGTATGGTTGTAGTAGTAAGAGTGGCGATGGTGTGATTATGGTGGCAGTGGTATTAGCATGATGTATGTTGGTGTGATTGGTGATGTGGGGAGCGGTGGTGCAGCGGTTAGCGCTACGCTGCGCTATGAACCCGGCGACCCGAGTTCGATTCCCGCTCACGGCCAACACCGGTGACGATTATTTGAACCGATTCTGGGCTTCCCCTAGGTCGACTCAGTCTGAAATGAGTACCTGGTGCGGTGTGTAAACATCGCCACTGGGGAGACAAAGGTGGTCTGGCGTGGTGCTGGCCACCCACCCCCTCGTGTGCGGTGCCGGCCTTCATAGGTGCTACTCGCTAACAGCACTTGCCCCAACAGTCTGTTAAGGCTATACGGGGGGACTTTGTCTTTGTCTCGTGGTATTGGATTTGTGGATAATAATATGACGGGTAAGAGGAGTTGTCACGTTCCATCTCCTTTCGTGGAGTAGAGTTCTATCTTACTCCCTTGCTCTCGCAGATGACCGGTAGCTGCGGTGCCAAGATCGGCCTCTGTGGAGGAGACTCGTGAAGGACGCTGCTGCTGCTGGGCAGGTGGAGGCAGCTGCGCTCCAACAACAACGGATGAGCGATGCTCACAACAACGAGCAGAGCGCCGGGTGGCTATAACGCAGCAAGTTGGCAGAGTGGGGAGCACAGGTGGTGCGTCTGTCAGTCAACTTTAGTGAGTTAACCCATAACACCTGGGCCTGTGCGGTGAGTCTTCGACAATTAACGTGGCCTCAAAGTGCACCTAGCCTGACACGAGTGCCATGGTGACATCACCCGCCACTTGGTGATGATTGACACTTGTGTGCATACACGCGCGTGTGTGTGTCCCTGTTAGCCTTAAACGAGTAGCAGGTGCAGTGTGTAAACATCAACACTGGGGAAACGAAGTTAGTAGTTGCTCGCTTGAAGCACTTTGCCGCAACAGCCTTTGTGCTTTTTTTGTGAGGCATGTAGAGCATGCACCCTCACCAAATACACAGAATCCACTCTGCAGGCATTGCCCATTTAATCGCCTCCTGCCCACTCGCACTTTCTAAGTATTAACATAGGATGATGATGACGATGGTGATGATAATGGTGATGATGATATAGTTTTTGACTGGCGCTTGCTCATGGGGGAGAATGAGAAAGGCAAGAACCTTTGAATGGACGTTGGAACGGGCAGAACGGGGGGCTTGGGCCCAACGGTGCCCCCACTGGTAGCGTCGTGGTGGTGGTGGCCACTTGGCTATGCCACCTCGACTGCCCACGACACACACGCACACCCGACTCCGATTAACCCAGATAACACTCGCGTGGGCTCTCCCTAACCACTCCCTTTGTCCTCTTCATCTGAACGCAATTAGTATAATGTGTCCCGGCTTGAGTGCGTGGGAGGTGGACGAATGCAATTATAAACAAACTTGCAGCGTTACAATAATGAGGTCAACTTGCATTGAAATCCCGCGAGCCACCGATGGCCCCGTTCTCCCGGCGTTCTTTCAATTACAGCGACGAAGACGAGCACATCGTGAAACTAATTACTGCGCTTTATAGACCCACGAGTTAAATACACACCGCAGTACACAACACAAGCTCGGCAGATCATTATTACACACGTTCGTTCAAACCAAGGCATTTTTTAATTGAATGTACATTGAATAGAAAAGACGACAAAGTACGGCTTTGTGATTGCCGACCGCAATGAGCGCAAACCTACACCGTCGACTTATTAAAATGTGTAAAATCAACTCTCTACACTGGACAGAACAACTTCAAAGTCACAAGGTCTACCTAGTCGCATGACTCAAATGGGCTAAGAGCTTATATCCAAATTATTATTTTTCTAACTTAACCAAATTGCCACGTTGCCGCTATTATACCAGGTTCTCAGGCCATTAAGCTTCTGGCCCCAGCTTGGTCACCAAGGTAAACATGTCACTTACATTTGACCTAATCCAGCTTTATAGCAATTTATCTCTGAAGAATAAAATGGAATATGAGTCAATGTGAGGCACGTGACTAACCGCTCCGATGAGTTGAGCAGTGCATTCTGGTTCTTATGCCGAGAGAGGCTTTTGAAGAAACCCTTGGTGGTGGTGGTTGTTGTGTGTGGCATGTCTGGGCTATCCTGCTGTTCTACACAAGGCTCTGCTGATGGTAGGAATCCCTTAACAAACGGGAAAGATTTGGTGCTCAAATCCAACATTTAGAGTAATTGTACGCATTGAAAAATCCACAAAGGTTATTATGACGGAGATCGATCACACTGCACCGACGAAATCTACCCTCGATTCAATATCATACGTGCTCCTGTTGTCTTAAGTGAACCTTGCACGTGTGAATATTTACATAAACTTAGCAGGTCCTATCGTACAAGTCATGTGCAAACTGAACATAAGATCAAAACTGCAGACAGAAGATTTTAAGAACATTGACACTGTATTTTTGCTTAATAACACGACAACATTAATGCTTTTACAAATAGTTGTGGGGATATTCTGTGATACCAAGATGTCAAAACTGAAGTTTAATGCGATACTAAATACTTGCTTTGCCCACGTAATGTCTCGGGGATATTTTGAAGTCCATAATGTAACTCGTGATCAGTCACATAGAGGATAAGAATAGGTTCAATTAAGTTATTGATCATTTGAATAATCTGGTGTCAAAACATTCTGACCAAACAAAGTGTATAATAGGATTGTATATAAAATACAAAATCAATCTGTTTATTTTAATAGTACATGGTTTCAACTCAATAAGTTTGTAAAAATATACAATTTTAAATAAATGCAGCAATAAATATCGTTAAAATTTACGTCCATACTACCGTCAACTTAATGCGTGTTGCACGATGTTACGCCGGTGTTGGGCGGTAGTGAACTTGAAAGGTGCCCTCCACAGGACATCGACTTGAGATGTCTCACAAGCCGACCGTGATGAGACAGGCAGGGCGTGACTGTGATTTGAAGTGAAGTCCTCACAATTTGGCATGTGGCAGTAATTCACTGATTACAATGTATCCTTATGCATCAAACGGATAAGGTCTCAAATCAAGATGTCTCGGCATTACTGGTTAAATGCTGTGATGCGGGAAAACAATTACAACCTAACTTTGTTTCGGGTCAAAAAACTAATTTCCACGAAGTCTGTTTTGAATACACGCATTTCTACAAAAGCACGGTTTTTCTTATTTTATTTTCCACGGAACAGATGTTTCTCATTAAAACATGCTAAACACATTAAAGCATATAAAATCCTTCTGTCTGCAGTTTTGTGTTAGCTTAATAATGATACAGTAACATCTCAATAGCATTTGTCCTTGCATTCAAAATACAAAGCGAGAAATATGATGCCCATTCAGAAATGGCCACAGGAGTTTGAGAATAACATTACAACTATTTGCGGGTTCATTGTTTAAATTCGGTTTCCAAAATTGCTTTTTTCAATAATTACATCCTAAAATTGTACTATTAGCACGTAGGCACACAAAGTGATGGAAATTCTCACCCTAAGACTTCCTACGATTGTGCAGCCACAATACCATTCGTGGAAAAACCCTCGACCGAAATAAAGAAGCCTTGGCCTGATTTACTTGAAGTGTCTCATCTTCCTGAACCAAAAGAGGCTCTACTCTTGGACTGTGCGAAAAAGCCACGAGGTTTCTTTCCATCATGGAAGAATGTGGACACGAAGCCTTGGAAACCACGTTACGCCACATTAAGTGCAAAACCAAATTGTATACGATAGGCTATTTTTGTGTTGTAATTTGGTTCCTGGGCAGATGCCACCGACTCATTACACATGATGAGATCATGGGTTTATCTCAGCTGGCTGGCTGGACTCTGATTCCAGCATGTCGGCAGTGTTGTCCTTAATACGTTTTGACCATTCCTCGCATCGCATTTCCAGAAAGAGGCACCAATCTCTTGAAAGCTCAATTTATCCCTCAGCACCTGGACTTAATGACAAAAACATTTAAATGATCCACCTCGTGTCCGCCCACCTAACTAAAACAAGTATTGTGCCTGTTTTTTGGAAATGTACGTGCATTCCCACCATCATCATCGTAAGTGGTATTACGTTCAATTTCTGCGTCTCGTCATCCTCTCCTCGTCCAATCGTCCACTTGTAACAAGGTCGGGCCGTGATTGTTACATCGCACACTCACTGTGGTTCGCTGCCCGGTTATACTCGGGGTCCATAGCAGGGCGGCTTTGAGCCTCCACTCCTCCTGACCATGTTTGGGCCAAACAGGACCGCACCGAGACTAGATCTGCCATCTCTGAATTACAAAAAAAAGCAGGACATACGGACAGAAAAATATTCCAATACTAGGAGAGGAGAGAATGACTTGGAAATGCATCGTCTTGAGTGGTGTATGATGCACTTGGCAGGGCAGCTGCTTCAAAAATGAGGAAGCCACTGGAGTTATGCACTTTTACATCTAGATTGAAAACTCATTTCTTTAAAACTGCTTTTTGTGTTTAGTTTGTTGTCCTTCCCCCGCACCTCCGATTAGCACGGTTGGCTATGTACGGTGCGAAAGAAATTCAACGTACATACACAAAAAGAGGACGATCCTGGGAAAAAAGCAGGACAGGTGGCAACTGCAGCTGAGACGATACCGAGTGAGTGACGTCTATCAGCTCCCTCTTACCCAGAAGCCAGTGCAGCGTTAGGGGCCTGCAGGCTCTGCAGGGAGACGCTTAGTGCCCAGGGCGATGTCAATCGAGGCCTGGCTGTCATCATAACCGTTCCCTTTAATGCTCTTCATGTTACATTAACGTAAAAATGGGCAACATGTGAAAAACAACAATTATAAAAAAGAAAGTCTTAATCTTTACAAGAAAAATACTGTAAACATAAGCGCTTGCAATGAAGTGTAGCGTTCAGTTACAAGATGCAATGAAGTCTCTTTTATCTACTTCCAACTCAACTCTGCTGCTGTAACTGGAAAGAGACCAAATTTGATGTGTCCTCTTGAAGCTGTGATGTGTTTAGGTGTCGCATCTTGCAAAAAAGACTCTTCCAATGCTCCTCACGTGACCAGGTTCTCTCAGCCATGGACATCCTCACGAACACTTCACAATTCCCGATAGCACAAATATTAGTGTAAACTATAATGAACAACTGAACTTGAGTCTTGTTGTGCAGTCTGTCTTAGTGGTTGTCCAAGCATACAGAACATATTTGTCTGTACCAATCATCAACTAATAGTAAGTTGCTTTAAAAAATATGTACAGTAGAGTATTTTCAAAAAAATGTGCTAAGTTTAAGTGCCCTTGCATGACAATCAAAAAGATGCCAGAATATATTTACTAAAGTCATCACGTTGATACTGTTTCAAACCGCCGCGTTCATCTCAGAGGACTGCGTTTTGTGGATTGGGGCAATTGTGGGGGCAGATCAATTGTTGCAAAGACGAAACACGACTTCTCTCTCTCTCGAGCTGGGAAGTTCCCAGCAACGCGACTGCATGGTCAACTTCGACTTCTTCCTCTTCTCGGCCCAACAAACGTCACATTTCTGCGTGGAGTCGGCTGACATCGCCATGACCACATTGGCGAAATGCGCCTCTCGGGATGGAACTGACGGCACCTCCCCCCCGATACCCCTCCTGGGCCTGCGGACGGAGCCAAGTCCCCGCAGAGGCCAAGCGCCGCGCTCGAGTCCGGCGCGCGCGAGCCGGGCGCGCGTTAGGACGGCGGGGGCGGCTGGCTCTTGACGGTGATGGGCGGCTGCTCCAGGCCGGGCGACAGCAGCAGCGCCTTGATGGAGTTGGGTGGCGTGTGGCCGCCCCCGCCCCCGTCCGGGCTCGTCAGGTCCCGCTCGTTGGTGGCCGTGGCGGTGGGCCTGCCGCCGGAGGACGCGCTGGAGCGGGAGCGCGTGGCGTTGGCCGCCGACTCGCCCGCCCCGAGGCGGCCGCGGGCGCAACAGCAGCACAGCAGGCGGGCAAAGGCGCGGCGCATGTCGCGGCTGGACGCGGCGTAGATGAGCGGGTTCATGCCCGAGTTGAGCACGGCGAGCGGGATGAGCCAGTTGGCGGCCGAGGTGGCGGCGGCGCTGCAGCTCAGGCCGCGCCGCAACGTGCCGCACGCGACGTCGGCCAGCAGCAGCCCGAAGAGCGGCGTCCAGCACGCGATGAAGACGCCCACCACGATGAAGACCGTCTTGAGCAGCAGCACCGAACGGCGCGACGTGCCCGGGGTGGCCTTGCGAGTCCCTCCGCCGCCGCCGTTGCCGTTGCCGCCGACCCTGCGGCCGCTGCGCCGCACGGCGGCGTAGACGCGCGCGTACAGCGTGACGATGCCGGCCAGCACGAGCGTGTAGAGCGTGACGCAGAACGCGAGGAAGCGCCGCGAGTAGAGCGGCAGCACCACGGAGCACTGCTGCAGCGCGCGCAGGCAGTTCCAGCCGAGGCTGGGTAGCGAGCCGAGCAGCAGGGCCAGCGCCCAGCACAACGCGATGAGCAGGCAGGCGCGCACGCGGCGTCGGCCCGGGATGGCCGGGGCCAGGCGCCGTCGCGCCATGATGAGGTGGCGCTCCACGGCGATGGCCAGGAAGCTGAACACGGAGGCGGCGAGCGCCACGAAGATGACGCCCTCGCGCGCGAACCACGCCGTCGGCGTCATCGTGAAAGTGTTGGGGCCCGAGAGCGAAATGTTGGCCACGTAGGCGGCGGCCGCCAGCAAGTCGGAGCAGGCCAGGTTGGCGAGGAAGTAGTAGGTGGGCGTGTGGAACTTGCGGTTCCGCCAGAAGGTGAGCAGGACCACGAGGTTCTCGACGATGATGACGCAGCACACGACGATGGCGACGATGCCGGTGGTGGTCACGGCACGGTCGCGCTTGTCGCGGTTGTTCAGCTTGCCCGTGTAGTTGTAGTGAGCCAGGATCACCAGCGGGTTGGAGTACAGGTACATCGTGTTGGTTATTTTGTAGTAGGCGTAGTCTTCCGCGGAGGGGGATGGCGAGGCCTCCATGGTCACGGCTGGAGCTGTTCCCAGCAGGGCTGGGTGCTCCATAGCGAAGGAGGGCACGAGCGGCGTCCGGTCACCAGCGTCTGGACAAACAAGTGGGGTAAGAAGAAACATGTTGAGTGCATGGACGAGCATTTGCGTTCGTTCGTCGCTTGAACGCAGCGGCATCTCACCGCGACCTACAACGTACGTAAGGAAAATACAAAATGCACTGGGGTAAAAGTGACGGAAGGGACAGTGGGGAAGAGAAACACAAACGGTCAACGGCAGAGGGACATGACCAATGCAGGGACAAGTCTCACGTCCCAAGCAAGACGTCTCGTCCACTCGCCTTACCACGCTCACCGTTCTTTGCCAACAGTTTTGTTAAGTTCACCAAAACAAAACGTGCCGGTGGGATTTAACCAGAGGTGGATCTAAAATACTACCCTAGCAGGTGGTCCCAAAGTTTCAAGACTTAAATAGGACCCTACATTATTAATAATAATAAGAAGAAGAAGCATTTAATTCATATTCTCTGCTAGATCTCAATAAAATATGAATATTTGGGGTCTCAAGAAGAATGTGATCATCCCCCCCATCACCTCACCCTTTGGGATCCACCGCGGAATGTACCGGCGGGTGAATAGTTTGTATGCAAGGGCACGAGCTTGGGTGGAACTGCATCGCTCCTCTCGCCACAGCGGTACACATGTTGGGGCTGTCGCGAAGGAGGATCTGAGGCTGGCAGGCTCCCGCTTCTGTTGTGCCGTCTAAGCTTTGTGAGCCATGGGCTATAAATGCAAAGGCCTTTTCGAGTGGTGATTCCGACACGACGATTGTTGCCCACTTTATTGCTGCCAAAAATGGCCATTCACGTGGCCCACGGCCTGCGCGTGGTGTAAATCTCACACCACGCGCGGCCAACACATTGCGGAGGAATGTGGAAGGGGGCTCCTATTAGTGTTCACATGCTGTCTGGACACGCTGCGCTCATACGCGCATTGCTATTTATTGTAACTTTTGAAGGGTTTTTATTTCTTTATTTTAAAACCGGTGGCTATGAAATGAAAGGAATGTTCCTCCCGAAGTGAAACAAACAATCTGCCTCGTATTCCTTTTCATCGAAGCCCGCGTGCGTAAACCGATCTGGGAGCACCTGCGCTGCCCCAAACATCAAAAGGCCCACGGACATTTATCCTCGCGACCAAAATAAAGCAGCGGCACTGCCACGGCCAAGCGCAATCGCGGACAGGACGTGCCCACGGCGCTCGCCCGCTCCCCACTCTTCACGGCTCCCCCTCGCTCGGAGCTTCTAGCGCTGGGTTTATTTTGAGCGCCGGCGCCCGCCTCCCGTGCTCGGTGGCAATTCCGCCCCGGCGAGAATTTCATTTCTCTCGGAGCGATGGCGAAGCGGTTAGCTCGCCGTGCTATGAACCCCGATGTCTGAGCCCGAATCCTGATGCCTGGGATGGAACGAGTGGAGAATGATATCTCAACCGGTCCCTTGGCCCCGTACCATCACCAACTCGCTGCCCATTGTGGGTGAAGTTTTGGCAAAACATTCCCCATGACCGGCGTGGTGTGGGGGGAAGCCTTCGTCCAGCAGTGGATTGACAAAGGGCTGTGAGTTATTATTTTCCATCAAGCCTTTGTACGTAATGAAGCATACCATTTTAATGATCGTTCAATATTGTTTTTCAATAGTCTGTTTCTTAATGTGATATTTCGTTTGGAAAACAAGTTGTTAACCATATTCTTGGTTCTTTCGGGAAAGTCACGTAGAAGGGAAATAATAAAATAATACAAATATAAAGCAATACAATTTCTCACGACGTTTCGACTGCAACACAAGCAATCATCATCAAGTGTGAAATCCACAGCAAGAAAATTTGAAAAAAGTGGCAGTTTTTCCTAAGTTGTTAACCCTTATATAAATTGAAAATAGTGTTGTTTAAGTTGTTTTTCTTTTCTTTTCTTTAATCTCACATGAAAAACGTTCGCCAATCATGAAACCCCGTGCTGGCAGCAGAGCCACACGGCAGGGTTTGGAGCACCACGTCCCACCTCTCGTGATTCTCCCAGGTCGTATATCACGGCAACCTGCACGGGCGATGCCCTCGTCCCGCAGGGCATCACCTGCGCAGGTGAGGACGCGGTCCTCTTCAGCGATGAATGAGCGGCCGGAGCGCTGCAGACGCACCGCGCCTGCGGGCTGGGTGAACGTAGCGTGCCATTTGCGTGTTTACCCCGCGCCAGATGTTTCACGTCTTCGAAATGCATATACAATTATTTATGGACTTGTTTGCCCGATCCACTCGTGTGTGTGTGTGCGTGCGCGCGCTGTTTATCAAGCCATAATTCAAGCTGGTGCACAGACGATAATTAATAAGACATCTCGTTTAATATGACACACGTGGTGAGAACCCGCACGGTGTCCACTAGACCAGAAATAACAATCGCGCGCCCTTTCACGTGGCGTGTGCGGCAAAGAAAGTGCATCCAAACAAACGCCGTCGTAAACAATCGCTGGCCGCGTGGGGTGCGCCGTTTGCGGGTCCTTTCGCCTCTACCCACACCGTGCTGCACCGAATTCCGACTACCTCCCCTAATAACCCTGCACCGTCATCAGTGGACGGTGGAGTCTCTACCCCCTCGTGCTGCCTCGTAAGTCACACAGAGCATCGCCCCTCAATCTAAGACACGTGGGCAGCGTGGGCAGCCTGGGCTCGTTTCACCGAGCCCTGTGGCGCTCACCTTGATTCTTTGGAGGAAAGGGTTGGTGGACCACACAGGTGTGTGCAACTCCCAAACCCAATGGGCTACGCGTTAGCCAGGAGATCGCAGTGCGGTTTATTTGTTTTACCTGTCTGTGCAGACTTTTGAGAGGTTATCCCCTCCTACGCGTGGGGCTACTCCGGCTCCCGGGGCTTCCACGTGCCACGCGTTCGTCAAAGAGAACTGGACGAATACCGCGATGCAGAAGCATCCTGGAAACTGGCTTTGGGACTCGGCGAGGCTTTCCTGGATACATTTGAGCACGGCTGAAAGAAGTTCAACATACAAATGGATCACATTGTTGTACATTCACACGCGTCATGTTCTATTGTCGTTCCCCGCAGTGCGTGACTCTGGCTGCACGTGGCATTGCTCGGCACGTCGATTCCTCTTACCCTCACACGTCCCAACTATGGAATTCGTTTCCTGCGCGTGCATTTTTCTGAAACTTACAATCCGCAGTAATTTGAAAAGTATGCATTAACCATCTGCAGAAGTTGTGTTATTGACTCACTGTTTCCTGTCGGGACTTTACTGCCGGGCGCTTTTAAACAACAGGCTTCCCTCGGCTTCATCGTCACACAACAGGCCCCAAATACCCAACCTGCCAGACAGCCAGCAACAAACAGCACGAGAGTCGATATAATCAATAAGTTGACGCGATCTTGAATTGAGCAGGGTTATAAGAAATTGAGAAAAAAAAACGGCAGGGAAGGAGTTCAAAAGTGAAGCGGTGTGTGGGAAGTTGCAGAAAGATCAGAGTTGTGACCCGCAATGTGGTGATTGGGTGGGTGAGTGGGTGGGTGAGTGAGTGGGTGAGTGCATGAATGTGTGGGTGAGTGGGTGGGTGGGTGGGTGTGTGGGTGAATGGGTTGTTGAGTGGGAGGGTGAATGGGGGAGTGGGTGAGTGCATGAATGAGTGAGTGCGTGAATGAGTGAGTGGGTGAGTGAGTGGGTAAGTGTGGGTGAGTGGGGGAGTGAGCGGGTGGCTTGCTGGGTGAGTGGGTGGGTGGGTGAGTGGGTGGGTGGGTAGATGGGTGGATGAGTGAGTGAATGAGTGAGTGGGTGAGTGAGTGGGTAAGTGTGGGTGAGTGGAGGAGTGAGCGGGTGGCTTGCTGGGTGAGTGGGTTGGTGGGTGCGTAGATGGGTGGATAAGTGAGTGAATGAGTGAGTGGGTGGGTGGATGAGACGACACAGTGAGTGAGTGTCTGGTAGGGCCCCGAGTCCTCAACTCGGGTGGAGGAATCAAGGAGTCAAGTCCAGGGGAACGGTAACCACGGTAGCTGTAGCAGCAGCGATAGAAGAGTGATACGGAAACGACAGTGCGCAGGCGAGCAGTCAATCTGTGTCATTCGAGATCCGTTAAGAGACAAACTCGAATCCACCTAATGCAAGTCTGTCTCCGGTGAGGTATCGCAAATCATGGATGAAAGCTGCAATAAAACATTTTACGATGCAGCGTAATACAATAAAAACAACAATGAAATTCAGTCAACCTGCCAATTTTTGTGGAATAATGAATGTCAGCTAAAATGTAAAGGCTTGTATTTACATTGGCTACAACTTCATTACGGAATATGAAACTGCTGGCCGCCAGCTTTTGTAAAATGAAACAAAATAAACCGATTTCGTGCCAGACTTGTGACAGTTGTTTTTTGTTTGTTAAACTATCATCTTGGGACGATTTAGAATTTTGTTCCTTTGACATAAATATAATTTCGCCTGTTCCCCCCCACCCCCATTCGCAATTGAATCAATTGGCCGGTTAAACTACTGTGGGTTACTCTCCGCTATCTTAAACCAAACAAAAACACGAGGACCTGAACAGAGCAAGTGGCGCGCACACCATTAATATGCCGAGTGACCAGCAGAGGGCGCCGCGAGACCGCGAGCACCAAGTCGCTGCCGCTGCTGCTGCTGCATCGGCAACTTGGATTCAAAATCCTCTCCGCGCTCTTTCCAGAATCTCCCCCACCCCCAACACCTGCCCAGTTCCTTCCCCCAGGCACTGTTGTATTGCGCTGAAGCCGGCCACCTCGGTTCAATCCCCAGGCATGGCTAACACCAGTCGCCGGTTCTGGCTTTCCCCTCCGTCGAAGCAGCCTTACACGAAGAATACATTGGTGTGAGCTCAGCTCTGCGATGGATAAATTGCTCCCCTGCCATAGAAATGTGGAATGTCCATCAATGACTCGGTGCCACTAATAGAGATGAGCACTATCCATTACTTTCATTTGCATGGAGACACTTTGACTTTGGACTGTATAAAAGAATAATTAAAATGTACGATGCCCATTACATCCTCGGATCCCAATGCGCAGTACAT